TAGCATGGGTAACTCGATTGTTGTTATTACTCCTAATATTACTACTCATCTAAAACCAAGTTCATGTTCTTGAGTATTTCACTTAACCCCTTTCCCTAGAAGGCTTTTTCCCCTACTATGCCTGACTCATTCCTACTCATCGTTCAGATCTCAGCCTGGATGTCACTTCCACAGGAAGGCTGTCTCTGTAGCTGCAAGCTGCAGATCTGTTTGCATGTCCTTAAAATATGTTCTCATAGCTCTGCATTTCCCTGTAGCACCTATACCATATTTCATATTTTATTTTTAAAAGCTGATGTTTTCTGTCAAACATCTTCCCTTTTTTGAGGGAATGTAAGAACACACGTGTAAATTAGCATCATGCTTTTTTTTTTTTCTTTTTTAACTGTAATCCTAACACACATTAACTAGTATTCAGGGTTTCATTAAATGTAGCATGGTATCAACTCTTCCATCTCATCTCCCAGGGAGAAAAATGAAAACCTCTTTTACACAATCGCAACATACTGAGATTTCAGTGTATCGACATGACACCATGGAGCCTGACATTTTGGAATAAGATGTTTTCCAGCAATGTCAGGCAGATTGTGTTAAATATTAATATGATCATTTGAGCTGTGTGCTAAGTGGCAACTCAAATTTTTTAATGGACTAAAGTATTCATAATATGTCTGATTTATGGTTGAATATCGCAATGTAGTTGTTTCTCAATTTCCCTTTTTGGAAATGACTTCTGCTGTTTTTGGTGGTAGTTGTCCTCCACAGTGTCTTTGCAGACAAGTATTATCCAGAGCATTTACATGGGGTTAGAAATTCTCAAATATTAGTAAACATAAAATTTATTTAGATTTACTAAACAAGGAGTTTGATAAAAATGAGTATTTCTGCTTCCCCATCTCAGAAATTTTGATTCAGTCGGTCTGGGGTCAGGCATTTAAAACAATCTCTTCAGTGGTGCTATTGTAGATGCTACCAGACACCATGTTGAGAATTGCTTAACGGCCCAACCAACCCTGACTAGTTCCCTCTAATTGCTTTGTGATGTTCTTCTTGTCTTTTCTGCTATTCACATCCCAAAAGCTTTCAAATCTCGGTTCAAATCACACCCATCAGGTAGCCCTGGACGGACTACTCCAGTCAGAGGTGCCGTAGCAGTTAGTTATTTCATGAAATGTTAGAAATATTATATACTATTAACATATTATGATACAGTGTTGTAACATTTTAAATAAAGCAACATAATTGAATTTATCATTTTGAGATACTGTGATTCAGAGGTCTAGTTTGGAGTTCAGAGGTCTAGTGTTAAGTTCAGTTTATTTCAACACGGACTTAAATAGCTGTTATAACCGAAAACCTATGAAATTTCATTGACTCAAGCGAAGAGTATGATTACGTGTACTTACTAAATGATAAGTTTTGCAATCTCATCCACCAACTTTGTGAAATTCAGTAAAGTTATATCTTCCCTGACCAATTGATTCTCACAAGCTAATCACAAAATGATGATTTTTGAACACATAATATATTCATATGGTACAATATTCAAAAGTGAAAAAATGAAAAGGTTCCCTCCCACCTTTGTTCCTGGTCACTGGTTCCACTCCCCCAGGGGCAACCAGTTCTATTAATACAGGAGCATTCTGAGCATGTAGATATTATTTGCTGACCCATTTTGTGCTTACTACCATAATGAATGCAGAAGGACATGGTTCTCCCACACCATACCTCCTCCACATTCCTCAGCCTTATTTGCTTACAATTTCACTAACCACTTAATGTTAACTACAGTTGTAGTAACATTATGGTTCATGGTCAAAGAATGATCACAATTACTCCCACTTTCTTATACAACACCTGCCTCCCATACTGTTTTTTTCTTTAGTCACTACCTGCTGGGGATGCACTGGAGTCTGCACTGACCTCAATGTTCAGCAAAAATCTGCCCTTAGGCCTTGGCCTTTGGGAGGCTACATAGCTAACTTCCACCTTCAATATTGTCTTCGTTATTCCAGAAATTGTACCTGATCAATAATAATGGTTTGGTTTTCAGACAAACATCATATCTGGTCAGATTAACAGCATCTGCAGTATTAATGAAGGAAGCATATTATTAAGGTGATGCTAATTGCTAAACTACACAAGTAGCTTGACATGGTTTTTTTTGCTCACATTAAAGTGACTGAGTTACTGGTCTCTGGACTTCTTTCCTGTCTAAACTGGATCAAGGATCAGCTCCTTCTATCTTGTGGGTCCACCATCCCCTAGAGCCTAACAGTCATCTGCATCCAGCCAGCAAAATGCAAAAAAGAACACAGAGAAGTTATATTCACTTCTCAAACAACTTGGCCTTGAAGTAATACACCGATTCTGTTGTCACTCCATTGGCAAAAACTGATATGCACTATCTAGATATAAGGGGGTAAGGGAAATGTAATTTCTGGCTGGCTAGCAATTTTTCGTAACTGTACACTATGAAAAGGGAGCACACTGTTTTTGTTGGTTTTTTTTTGAGGCAGAGTCTCGCTCTATCGCCTGGCTGGAGTGCAGTGGCACAATCTTATTTCACTGCAGCCTCCACCTCCCGGGTTCAAGCAATTCTCCTGCTTCAGCTACCCGAGTAGCTGGGACTACAGGAGTGTGCTGCCATGCCTGGCTAATTTTTTTTGTATTTTTAGTAGAGACAGGATTTCACCATGTTGGCCAGGATGGTCTTGATCTCTTGACCTCGGGGAGCACTCATTTGTAATGGACATACAATTACCTAGTGCAAATAATTCAGACTTATTGCAGATTATCTGTTTTGTTTTGTTTTGTTTTGTTTTTTAAACAAGGTCTCTCACTCTGTCACCCAGGCTGGAGTATAGTGGTGTGGACTCAAGTTATTCTTCCATCTCAGTTTCTTGAGTAGCTGGGACCACAGGTGCATGCCACCACCATACCTGGCTAATTTTAAAAAGTTTAGGTAGAGATGAGGTTTCCCTGTTGCCCAGGCTGGTCTCACGCTCCTGAACTCAAGCAATCCTCTCACCTGGGCCTCCCAAAATGCTGGGATTATAGGCATGAGCCACTGCACCTGGCCTGAACATTCATTTTTAAATAAAGGTAAACAAAAACATTCCAGTTATAAATTGAAGTGAAAAAAATCTCACTGCAATGTAAGTTTTATGAAGGTGGGAATTTTTGTCTGTTTTGCTTATTGCTAAATTCTTAGCACTTGGCACTGTGTAGGTGCTCAATAAATATTTGTTGAGTGACTGAATGAATGTGCTTCTATCAATAAGCAAAAACATTAATGTGTACGTACTACAAAAGTAAAGTGCTACAAATATTAATAATTGTGAAAAGTGTCAATTTTTTGTACAGAAACTGATACTGAGAACTTTCTGGTAGTTGAATAACAGGGAAGTAGAAGGATAATATTTAAAATAGTAAGACTAGAGAATGTCTAAAAGAATACCTCAAAAATGTAAAAAAAATTTAAATAATAATAAATGGTAGAATAATACAGATTTGGTTATTTATCATTCATTCTAATGCAGAATTGGTGTGCTAACATTCAAAATTTTAAACAAAATAAGTGTTAAGAACTGTTCAATTTCTAGTTAATTTATGCCACTTAGATAATTAGATTTTAGGAAGAAGTCCAATTTGGGAATTCTTCAGTCTTTTGGGGATAACTTAAAAACAGAATGTCAACTTTCCTACCCAAATTTCATGAAAACAAAAAAAACAAAAAAAAAACCTCCAAAGACGTAAATGTCATATATGATAAATCCCCTTGAATTTGGATAAAATAAGGAATGTGAAGAAAAAGAGAAAGTATTAGGGAAAAATGAAGATACCCACAAATATTCTCTTCTCAGTAATCAAGTTTGAAAATGTATATTAAATGTGAAAGCTAAAACTATACATCTTCTAAAAAAAATGGGAGATTATCTTCATAATATTCAAGTTAACAAAGATTTGTTAAAGCATTAACCATAATACAAAAAGAAATCTGATAAATTAGATTTAATCAAAGTTGAAAACTTCTACTCATCAAAATATACTATTAAGAAACAATGGCTGGGTGTGGTGGCTCACGCCCGTAATCCCAGCAGTTTGGGAGGTCAAGGCGGGCAGATCAGTTGAGGTCAGGAGTTTGAGACCAGCCTGGCCAAAATGGAGAAACCCTGTCTCTACTAACAACAACAACAAAAAACCTACAAAAATTAGCTGAGTGTGGTGGCACACAACTGTAATCCCAGTTATTTGGGAGGCTGAGGCACAAGAATTGCTTGAGCCTGGGAGGCAGAGGTTGCAGTGAGCTGAGATCGCGCCACTGCACTCCTGCCTAGGCATCAGAGTGAGACTCTGTCTTAAAAAAAAGAAAATAAACAGGCAAGGCATAGAATGGCAGAAAAAATTCATTATATAAATAAACAACTTGTATACAGTGTATATAAAGAAATCCTACAGGCTGAGTCATGCCTGTAATTTCAGCTGGGGGATTTTGGGAGGTTGAGAGGGGAAGATCATCTGAGGTCAGGATTTTGAGACAAGCCTGGGCAGCAGTGTGAGCCCATTTCTAAAAAATAAAAAAACAGAACTACAAATTAATAAGAACAAGATAGTCTATTTTACAAGTGGGCCAAAAACTTGGACAAGTACTTGCAAAGAGGTATCTGAATGTCCCGTAAGCATATAAAAAAGGTGTAACAGTGATCAAAGAAATGTAAATTAAAGTCACACTGGACACCATTACACTACCACCAGAATGAGTAAAATTAAAAGGACTGACAATCACAAGTGTTTGTAAACATATGGAGCAACTGGAACTTCCATACACTGTTGGTGAGAGTATAAAATGATACAGTCACGTTAAAAAGTGTTTGGCAGTTTTATTAAAACTAAATACACAACTACTCTGATATAGCAATTTGATGCCTAGGTATATGCCCAAAGGAATGAATGCACATATCCACAAAAAAACAAAACAAAACAAAACAATACATACAGAATGTTTATTATAGGTTTATTCATAATAACAAAAAGTTGGAAATAACGTGAATGTCAATAGGTAAAAGGATAAACAAATAATGATATATTCATGTAATCAAATAGTCTATAACAATAAAAAAAGAACAAGTACATTGATGAAAGAAGACAGGCATAAAACAATATATACAGTATGATTCCATTCACATGAATTCTGAGAACAAGCAAAACTAATAGATCTTTAGAAAAGAGTAGTTATTTCTGGGAGCTGTATAGACTAGGAAAGGGCACAAGAGAATTTGAAATTTTTAATACTTTGGTCTGAGTGTATGTATTTTTATATGATCTTGATATGAATGTATACATATTTTAAAAAATCAAGTACACTTATGATTAGTGCACTCTATTTACTGTATATATGTTATTTCTTACTTAGAAAAAAGGAGATGGACAAATTGGCCTGGCGTGGTTTACTCAATAGATTTGATGACAGAGAGAAAAACCTATCAGCATACATATCACTTGCAAGTAAATAAAAATTCATTCTGAGATTATGTAATATTAATATAAACAAAGCATAGAAAAAAACCCTGAACCATAACTCATAAGGAAACATCTAAAATATTATATAGGAATATATTATGGACCAGCCACTGTATATAACTATATCTTGATAGCAAAAATAGCATGGAAGATGAAAAACAATATCGAATTTCAGAATATTATTTTTAAAACGTAGATACAGGTTGCATATCCCTTATCTGAAATGTGTGGGAACAGAAGTGCTTTGGATTTAATTTTTTCAGATTTTGGAATATTTACGTATACATAGTGAGATATCTTTGGGATGGGAAGTCTAAACATGAAATTCATTCATGTTTCATATATACGTAGCTTGAAGGTAATTTCATACAATAGTTTTAATAAACTATGTATTGTGTGCCTTTGTTTTGATGACCTGTCACATGAGGTCAGGTGTGAAATTCTCCACTTGTGGTGTCATCTTGGCACTCAAAAAGTTTTGGATTTTGGAGCATTTCAGATTTTGAATTTTTGGATTAGGAATGCTCAACCTGTAATTCTTCATGCTTTTGATTCTACAGAGGCTAAAATTTAAACAAAAAGCTCGCTGAAATTACTGCTATAGACCATGCATTATTTCTGTAAATAAATACAAAATTGAGATTTGCCTAAGCAAATAAAATACAAAAACAAATTGAAAAACTTTATTTTCTAGAAATATCTTCTGCGGTGCACATCTTAATGAAGGTCAGCATCTACAGAAAACTGTGGAGTATTATGCCATAAGGACCAATCTAATTATAGCTGACAAGACTCCAATTTGACTATACTTTTAATGTCAAATTTTAAAACTCTGGTTACTAAATAACATACTTTCTAAGAAATAAAATTTCAAATTTCTTGCTCATTTATACACTTTCCATTGTACTCAAATACTTTGTTCGCAGTTTTCCTAGAGACCGACTTCCTGGAACCTCCGTCCAACTTACTTGACACAGTAGTTATCCTGGGACTTTCTTCATTTTCCTTTGTGACATCTTTTAGTTTCAGGATCCCATCCTTCTCAGATTAATCCCTCATTTCGGTGAAGCACATCCTCCAGTGGCTTCCTAAGAAAGGGTAGATGGTGAGATAAAATTCTAAGACCATGCAAATCTTAAGGTATCTTTATTTTAGCCCCACTCTTGATTGGATTATTTGAGTACAAAATTCTAGGTTGAAAATCATTTCTTTTTAAATTTAAAGATCTTGCTTTCATAATCTTCCAGCATCCAGTGTTGCTACCAAGAAGTTTAAATGCCATTTTCAAAATGTATCCTTTTTATGTAATTTCCCCTGCTACCTTTTTTGGGAAGCTTTTAGGTCCTTCCATAACTGTAGCATTCTGAAATATCCTAACAATGTGCTTTGGTATTTTTTAATTCATTTCACAGGGCACTTAGTGGACCCTTTTAATTTAGGAGACTAAGTCTTACATTTTCGGGAAATGTTCGTTAATTTTTTCTCTCTTCACCTTGTTTCTCTGTTCTCTCATTTTGGAACTCTTATTTATTAGATGTTGCAAATTATTCAGGTTTAAAGTTTCTTTTTTGTTCTTGCCTAGTTTTCATTTCTTTGTTCTACTTTTCAAAATTTCTTCAAGTTATTTTCTAATACATCTACTGAATGCTTAATTTTGGTGTCCTGTTTTTCCAATAGCTTTTGTTTTTGGATTGTTCATTTTTAAAAATAGCATCCTGATCCTATTTAATGGAAGCAGTATATTTGTTTCTGAGAATATCACAGCTTCTTTATGTTCATCTTTCATGTTGAAAGTTTCCTCAAATATCTAGTGATCCTTGGCTATCTGTGTAGAGATTTCAAGTGACGGAAGGCTGTATAAGAATGAACAGGGCTTGTGGACTCTCAGTTTCACTGTAACAAATAATCGAGTGTCAAGCTGTTTTTTTTACTGCTGGTCTTTTTGGGTTGGGTGAGCAGGGCTGGGTATAAACCCCATTGCCAGATTCTGTAGCCAGGTGGAGAAATTGGACTGGAGGCTCATAATGTTCAGAATACTCACATTCTGTCAATCATTTTGTCTTCCATATAGCACATCACTATCACTACCATCCTCCCCCTGTCCTCAGTTCTATTTGGTTTAATTTCTCCAGACAATAAGGCTTCAGTCATTTGCTAGAGAGATAGCTGCCTGCCTACAAAGGGAGAGCAAAGATAAACTTTCAAAAAATCCCCTGGTTTCAACTTTATTACTCCTACCTTCCAGGGTACCTTGTGCCTTTAAATCCTTGAGTCTTTTGGGGGTTCTGGAAGGCAAAGATAGGTGTTCCAAATTTGTGAACCTTTTCTGTGATGAAAAATGGTTGTCATAACTCTGCTACCTATGATATACTTGCCCTTCATGGTAAAGAAGAGTGAGAAAGTAACTGCTTGAAACACACAGAGATGGCTGGGCCTGGTGGCTCATGACTGTAATCCCAGCACTTTGCGAGGCTGAGGCGGGCGGATCATGAGGTCAGGAGATCGAGACCATCCTGGCCAACACGGTAAAACCATCTCTACTAAAATACAAAAAATTAGCTGGGCATGGTGGTGCACACCTGTAGTTCCAGCTACTCGGGAGGCCGAGGCAGGGAAATTGCTTGAACACAGGAGGTGGAGACTGCAGTGGGCTGAGATCGCACCACTGCACTCCAGCCTGGTGACAGAGTGAGTCTCCATTTCACAACCACCACCAACCACAAACCCAAACTACCTGCTGTTGAGACAGCATTTAAAAAAATTTGTTTGCAAATATTGTAATGGTTATGTGGTTATTTTAGCTAAATACCACGTGTCTCCTATAAAAAGTCTCATATCTGCAATTGGGCCTCCTCTTCTGACACTCAACAACAGTTCTAAGAAATAAATATATAAGAAATACAACTTGGGTCAACTATGTGTGAGCCTTCCTCACCCCCAGTCTCTTATTATTAAATATTATTATTTTAGAGACGGGCACTTGCTCTGGTGCTCATGTTTCTGTGCAGTGGCATGATCATAACCCACTGCAACCTCAAACTCCTCAGCTCAAGCAATCCTCCCAATTTAGCCTCCTGAGTAGCTGGGACTACGGGTGTGCACAAGCACTGCTCCTGGCTACTAGTCAATTACTTAGACATAAGAAAACAACACATACTGGAAAGAGTACAGACAGTTCCTGGGAACAACTATATAGACTGAAACCCAAGTTTAATCCATGCCACTATCATATTTATAGGGTTGCAGATAAAATGCAGGAAACTAAATTCAAATTTCAGGTAAATAACATAACTTTTTTCTGGTATATGTGCCATATTTCATTATTTATCTGAAATTCAAATTTATTTGGGTGTCCTGTATTTCTGTTTGCTAAATCTGGCAACCCAACCCATTTCAAGAAACATGTCCCAAGTAGAATGTGACCAACATAGAAAAACTGCATTCAAAGAAGGAAACTGGGGTCTGGACCTTTCAAGGCATGGGAATCTACTTAAGTACCAAATAGGTAGACAGGGACCAACATCATATAACACACTTTGCAGTAAGTCTACAAGGAATGCATTGGCTGTGGCCAACATTAATGTCAGCCTTCAATTGATTCAGAAATTAGAATTCTTCCGGTAGTGGCTGCACCCTTCTTTCACCAGAGCTCTGCCACTCTATCAGGACATTCTGGTTACTCAAGGTGCAACCATAAAGCCCATCTAGGGTCTTTTTTGATGGAAGACGGCCATACTCTTGGGCTGTTCCACTTGTTTGGGTACCTCTCAAAGGAAGTTGCACCTACTGGTCCATTGCTTAATTTATTGTAAACCAAAACCATCAGCTGTTACACTGGAGTGTCAGGTCCCACAGCTGATACCACAGATGGAAGGGTGAATTAGGCATAGGCGAGCAGTTAACCCAAACTTAACAATTTCCCCCCAAATAAAACTATAGTACCAGCTCCTTGTTAACTGCAACACTCATTTTAGGAGTTTCATCTGGTTTGTTGCTAATTTGATAAACTAGCTTGGTTGCTGTGTATACTAGGAAGTTAGTTTTAATTTTGTTAGACTAACCAGTATCCTGAGTCCCTTCTGAATGATTATTGTTGTATACAGCCTAACTCCCCTAATGATCCCAGGAATTTTCATATCATGTGTCATGTCAGAATCATGTTTTCCCAAATAAACTGCCCAAATTCCAGTCAAATTCCTGTTTTATGATTCAACTTGAAACTGCTGTTAACATTTTTAACTGCCTTCATAGTTTAGAGGCAATAACCCTATAGCTGTCTTCCTGTTACACTGTTATACTCCATTTTTTTTTTTTTTTTTAAACCAGGTACCAGTGTAACACCAACACTCTGGGAGGCTGAGGTGGGAGGATCGCTTGAGCTCAGGAGTTCCCGACCAGCCTGAGTGAAACTGCGTCTACAAAGAAATAAAAAAATTGGCCTGTGTGGTGGTGTGCACCTGTAGTCCACAGCTACCAATGAAGTTAAGGTGGATCGCTTGAGCCTGGGAGGTCGAGGCTGCGGTGAGCCAAGATCATGCCCCTGCACTCCAGCTTAGGCAAGAGTGAAACCCTGTGTCAGAAAAATAAATAAAAAATGAAAACCAGGCATTCATTTTCCACATCTCATTGAGAAGAGCTGGTCATAGCTCTCACAGAAGATGGGAAGCCAGCAAGTGTCAGGTCACTGTGGTATATCCTCATCCTTTCCATTTCTTGGTCTCAGTTGCAAACTTTTACAATAAGTCTCACTGCTGCTGCTAATTGAAAGGAAGAGCTTGGCAAACTGCATGATTAGCAGACTCAAATATGTAGTCATTAACTCAACTTTATTTAAAATTATTTGAGACACAGCGTAGAGATTTTTCTTTTAGCAGCAGCAAGTTGACATAGAAGCACTGGTGGTTGGTCCAGAGAATGTAACTCCCTCAGTTCAATAGATATCACTGGTGGACAGGTATGTTACCAGCTTGCAGTTATCTCATGAAGTCTGCGAAGCTATCCAGATTTCTTAGGCTGTTCTATATATCCTAGCTACCTGAGCAAAACACTTTTGGCCCTGATCTTTGTGCCACTGCCTTGTAATTAGCAGATATAATTTAAATCTTTGTACAAAGTATCTATCTATTTTCTCCATTTCCTTGGGTGAGTATCGTTGTGGGGGTTTAATTGAAGTGTGTCCTCCACATGAATCTTCATTACATGTGGATGGCTGCTCCATTCAATTCTTTTATGATTCTCCACTATAAGCTATTTTCAATATGTGAAGGGCCAACATATGGATTAGGGTTTAGGTTTATTTAGTATGACCCTAGATAGCAGAAATGGCTTGGGGTAATAGATAGGTTCATATATTTTAAAACTAATTTCCTATGTGTAGTAATCTTATTTAGTTTTGCATTCCCAGTGTCTGTACTAGAGTAGGCACTTCTCCATAGCAATATTGGATGAATGGCTAAATTTCTAACAAGAGATATTTAAAACTAACAGTCTGCTCCAAAAGACATGTTCTTTAACACTGGAGTCAAAAGTAGAAAGCCAGATGCAAGCCAACTTACGCGTAAGAAAATAACCCAGGTGACTTCTAAAGTCTTTAAATGCTTTAGCTATTTACACTAATATCAAAACATTTTCATCAGACTTTTTTTATTTTTTATTTTTATATGGACAGGTGTGATAGAAGGCCCAGCAGGAAGGGCTTCTATCCCCCAGAGGAGACATATCATATGCCCTCCTGCCATGCATGTATGGATTTTTTTCCTTTGCTTAGGAAGCAGATGGGATTAAAAGACCTGATTATGGTCTTTGAGGCTCAAGGTATCTGGACTGTTTTAATAAAAATGTTGCCTATGGCTAGGTGCGGTGGCTCACACCTGTAATCCCAGCAATTTGGGAGGCTGAGGCAGGTAGATCACCTGAAGTCAGGAGTTAGAGACCAGCTTGACCAATTGAGAAACCCTGTCTCTACTAAAAATACAAAATTAGCCAGGTGTGGTGACACATGCCTATAATCCCAGCTACTTGGGAAGCTGAGAAGAATTGCTTGAACCCGGGAGGTAGAGATTACGGTGAGCCAAGATTGCGCCATTGCACTCCAGCCTGGGCAGCAAGAGCAAAACTGTCTCAAAAAAGAAAGAAAGAAGAAAAAAAAAAAGTTGCCTATCTGCACTGAGAAAGTAAAAGACAGTTAATGTCCACTGGTTTAGATATAATTTCCTTACTCCTTTGATAAATATTTGTATAAAGAGAGGATAAATTCAACTTTTTATCCTAATTATGGTGACTGCATTTAATCAGAAGCCAACATAGTGAGTGCAAAGGTAGTAAATTCATTTCCAAACCCAGTGTTTATGCCACACAAAAAGTTAACTTAAGGCTTATTTAGGTACCTGTTATTTTGTGCAACCTGGAATTACTTAAAATATATAAACAAATAAGCTCACTTTGAATCTTGACTGAATATCAGACATTTTCTTCTTCAAGTGTGTTTCTTCTCTAGAGACGTCAAGTCATCTCCTGTCAGACGTACTATATAGATTCAGGTACTGTGTCTATTAACTCTATTCAGTACTTAGTGAATGTTGAGTATGTCTTAAGCAAAGTAGGATCTATTTCATTTGTTGAGGACAAATGACTATACGCTGTTCAACATGTACAAAGCTATTGGTTTATTCAGCTGCCAAGCTGTGGAAAGGCTTCCTTTCGAAGTGAAGAGCAAAAATGCATTCATAAGCAAGGCACTTTTATACACACACCAAGAGAGAAAAAAGAACATATTATGAACACATAAACATCAACATAGGTTAATATTCAGACCTCTTGCCTACCTCCTCCCACCTCCCCTTAAACAAAAAAAAAAAAAAAAAAAAAAAAAAGGAAAGAGTTTCCTGTAACATTTTAGAAACCAGTTTCACAGAATATCTACATAGGAACAATTTCTGATACATTCAGTTACACTAACAATATGATATGGTTTCAGGTCAATAATTTCCACTAACAAATACTTTTATCTACAATTCCCTCTTTTTTTCCTTTAGACAACTAAGGCTCAGCAGAAATATTCATTAGGTTATAAGCATTCTTCTCTCTTCTTAAAATTGCTATATATTTACATAATTTATGATTCCTAACTGCCTTTTTTTTTTTTTTTCTTGAGACGGTGTCTTGCTGTTGCCCAGGCTAGAGTGCAGTGGCGCGATCTCGGCTCATTGCAACCTCCACCTCCCAGGTTCAAGCAATTCTCCTGCCTCAGCCTCCCAAGTAGCTGTTGATTACAGGTGCACGCCACTACGCCCAGCTAATTTTTGTATTTTTAGTAGAGATGGGTTTTCACCATGTTGGCCAGGCTGGTCACGAACTCCTGATCTCAAGTGATCCACCTGCCTCAGCCTCCCAAAGTGTTGGGATTACAGGCGTGAGCCACCGTGCCTGGCCTGCTTCAATTTTTTGATGCCACCTTGTAAACAGCACTTAATTATGGAGAATAGGAAAAAGCAAAACTAAAACAAGAGGATATATATATATATGTATATATATACACACACACACATACACTTTTCACAATCTCTTTTCTGATTCCCTTTAGATGCCCAGTCAACCAGGACCACACACAGATTTCATTTTATTTGTAGAGTGTATGAAAAGATTTAATAGTCTCATGCATTTTATTTTACGTATACTGATTTCTATGTTTTGACTCATTTAAATAAAAAAAACAAGCCTCATTTACAAGGGCATATACTCTTCCTTGTTTGGCCAAAAGAAAATCTATAGCTAAATCTACTTAGAAAAACAATGCTGCTGAAACTCTTAACTTCAGATTGTATTAGGCTGAGATTTTCTAATAAGAAGGTTCTTTAAAATTAGAAGGGTTCCTGACGTTTGCAATGGATGTGGAAAGTACTTGAACTTTTACTCCAGGAAATGCTATACAGACTAAAATTTTAATCCATTAGCAGTTAATACTGAAAGCAGAAATGCTCTCTTAATCATTTTCCATTAATCTTTTGAAAGGTATTTTATTTACTCTTGACAAAAGTCTGAGTACCAAGATTCAGGAAACATATTCTCTACAGAACAGGTGTTTGTTTAATCCCAAGGGATGATCTTATAGGCTGATTTAGCCAGAGACAGCCTGGTGGGAGACTGATATAGAACGCTCATGATGTAATTGTAAGTGCCATAATAAGTTTGGAGTAGTACAGGCTAAGCTTAAAATTGTACTCCTCCCTGCCGCTCCCACCCCCCTGCCAAAAAAAGAAAAAATAAAAGGAACCCTAAAGAGTGTCCTATGTAGGTACATCTATATAAAAGCTGGGAAAGAAATCCCCATCCCTGCCATTTCCCTTTGTGTAGTTACTCAATTTAATTCAACTACCTCCATAGAAATGCATGTTAGAGAAGGGTATGCTCAGAAAGGTATTACTGTGGGTAGCTAACTTCTAGCTTTCAATAATGGCTGTTCTGAAGTCTGGATAATAAAAGGGGTGGTGGTCTACTTTTCTTCATTAATAATCAGATATCTCATTAAAGCCATTCAGAAAGGCAGAATAAATTGGGATGGGTAGGGTGAGAAGTGAGTGTGAAGAATATTCAACTAGCTTTTGTAATATGGTCCCCTTAACTAATTCTCCATTGGTATTTTTTGTTGTTGTTGTTGTTGTTTTGAGACTGAGTCTTGCTCTGTCACCCAGGTTGGAGTGCAGTGGCATAATCTTGACTCACCGCAACCTCTGCCTCCCTGGTTCAAGTGATTCTCCTGTTTCAGCCTCCCGAGTAGCTGGGATTACAGGCATGCACTGCTGCACCCAGCTGATTTTTTTTTTCTATTTTTAGTAGACGGGATTTCGCTGTGTTGGCAAGGCTGGTCTCAAACTTCCGACCTCAGGAGATCCACCCACCTCAGCCTCCTAAAGTGTTGGGATTACAGGCGTGAGCCACCACGCCTGGCCTTGATATTATCATTTTATCCACAGGGTTTGTCAAAGGGTATCCTCTTTGGCTTGCCAGGGCATAAGATAGTTTGACTGAGAAGACATTAGTGGGCTGTGTAATGACTAACTTTGTACCCCTTCCTCAATTAGCAACATCAGAGATATCACAGCAAATGGTAGATCTTTACAGTGATGCAGTTAGGAGTTTGTTAACTGCCTTTTGGAAGTCAGTGTAAGAATAAGTAGTGTTGATGGGTTCAGTACGAGTTGTTTCCTTAACTGTTTTAGTCAGCCAGCCACAGCAACACCCAGAAACACAAGAATTAGGGATCTGTTTTAGGTATTCAGGTATGGGAGTGGCTCTACTCAATGTTCGGCTTAGCTGTTTGGTGGCAAATTGCAGTGCTCCATTTAGAGTGGCATGATCTCTAGAGAGCCGGCTGGGACTTGTAAGAGGCTTTTGAAAAGGTGGGACTCCACAAGAGGCCAGAGGGGGCCATTCAGGAATTGGTTCCAGTTTGGGGACACAGTGGGAACAATGGGAGAGTCTTAGACCTATCTCTCGAAGTATATGGACTGGTGTGCTTGGATCCAGGAGTTTAGCATGATACAACCAGGAATTAGGATTTAAAGGTTTCCAAGTTGTGGAATATTTTAAAAGGCACTTAACCTGCCAGGCAAGACTCTCAAGAGGTGATAAGTTGGGTACCATGGAGTCCTCTTCTTCAGAGGAATCCCACTCTTCCCCAGAACTCTCATTTAGGTAGCTAATGTTTTCTTCTTCCTCACTTTCTGAATCTGACAAGTGGTCAGGAGAGGGATTTCTAGGACCCATCTGAATGAAACAGAGTAAGGAACCAGAAAAAGGTAATAATCTAAAGCCAGCAGAACACTTACTAACACTGGCAAATAGAAATAAGAGATGAAAAATCCTTTCGCCAAGATTAATTTGTCTTTCAGTCCATTATGCACATAGAGTATGCTTGCGGCCCACACCACTGTGCTGTTCTTCAAGATTATGTTGTATATTCTTCACTTACAAAGAAGACATCTTAGTTTTCAGGACCAGTTCAGTGTGTAAAAGTATTTAGTCACTTACCAGTGGCACAGGTCAGAGTATCTCCTTCAAATCCTGGCTACCCAAGAATACAAGGGGTCCTCATCTAGGCAAGCTGATTTACTTAGCATAGTCCCAATTGGTAGTGGTACTGTGAAGAGACACTTTTTGTGCTGTTTTGCTGGCAGTGATATTATATCTACTTGACAACGAAAAGAAGCTCAGTAGTTGTCTTGGTTGTCCGCTGGTATAGCAACTTTTGTGCAGTGGGGACTGATGGGATGAGCTGTCAAGAACATCTGGTGTAAGAGGATCCGATGCTTTCCATAGGTGACGTAAATGCCCTTGGAAACTGGTGATTTAGCTGTTGGACTATCTGGAAAGGTAGCCTTAACCTGTGAATGAGAAGACTAGAGACATGATATTAAAGCCTGAAAGCACTGGATAACATTATTGCCTACCTAACCTCAGGATATCTAAAATCAGAACAAATGCTGAGCAAGAAGTCTTACAGACTCTTCCCTCTCTATCTCATAGGCTTAGGCCAATTTACCTGTTGGTAATAGCTCTTACAATCACAATATTGGGGAGGAAAGTCTGGGGCCATTTTAATTCTTTGTTGGTACAAAACTGGGCCAGTTTGTATGCAGTTTTAGCCCAGAAAATTACTTTTGCAAAAGCTGATCCCTTATGTCCCAAACTCCAAATAGAGAGCTCTAAAAGGTATTTATTTATTTTTATTTTATTTTTTTTACCTTCAGAGGTGCTTGTTGGAATTAGTTTTAGGGGGCCTGTCCTGGTGGTAGAGCTGCTAGATGTTAGGACTCTTGCTGGGACCTCAGAAGTTGTGATCCTATGACCAATTCTATATAAGCTGTTCCACAAAAAAGAAAAAAGCATGAAAACTGACCAGTTCCTTTTATAAAGATAACAAAAATAAATTCCAAACTTAGAGATGAACCAAACAAGAAAAGTATAGGCTCACTTCACTTGCAAAATCCTAAATATCACTTAACAGAATCCAACAGTACATTAAAAAGAATATTATCAAATACAGCCTATCCCAGGAAAGTAAGAATAGCTCAAATTATAAAAAATGTACAAATTACCAGAACTAAAGGAAAAAAAGAGATCATTATATTGAATGTGGATAACCTTTGTTAGTTCCTGACCAACATGTATTTATGCTTTAAAAGACAAAACAAAACATTTTTACTAAACTAGAAGGAGAATGTAACTTTCTCAACTTGGTAAAGGTTATGTACCAAAATCTTTAAGCAAACATTATCCTGAATAAGATGAGATACATTTCCTTTAAAAGTGAAGTCAGGGGCAGGGCACAGTGACTCATGCTTGTAATCCTAGCATTTTGGGAGGCCAAGGGTGGAGGACCACTTGAGGTCAGGAGTTCAAGACCAGCCTGGGCAACATAGCAAGACCCTGTCTCTACAAAAAAATTTAGCCAGGTATGGTGGTGTGTGCCTTTAGTTCTAGCTACTTGGGAGGCTGAGGCAGGAGGATTGCTTGAGCCCAGGAGTTGGAGGCTGCGTGGTGAGCTATGATCACACTGCTGTACTCTAGTCTGGGTGACAGAATGAGACTCTTCTCAACAACAACAACAACAACAAAAAAGTGAAATTAGCTAAAGATGACCATGTTGACTGAGACTGATACTGTCTGACACAGGACGGAAAGTCCTAATCAATGTTTTTCTTTTTGGAAAAAGATACGTTAAGAATTGGAAGAGATAAAACTATTAGTTTACAGATGATTATCATCTAATTAAAAAAAAAACAGAGTTCAACAAGTTTCCTGATCTGAGATTAACCTATGAATATCCATTAATTTAATTACTTATATAACACTTATTATTTGCCATGTACTACTCTAGTAACTGCACAAATGTTAACTATTTTAAAATTCTTCTAACAACCGTAAAAGGTGGTACTTTTATTGTCCCCGTCTTACCTGTGGATTAAGTTACGTGACCAAAGTCATTCATCTAGTAAGTCACAGGGCCAGTGTTTCAACTCAGGCACTGTTAACTTTTATACTAGCAATACTAACTAGACCATATATAAAGACATTTCACAGAAGGAAAAACAAACAACAAAAACCTAATCCTATAAAGAACCTAGGAACTAATCATTAATATATAAGATCTAATAAACAATATAGAAGATAATTTAAAATACAGACATTCCATGCTCTTGGATGGAACAAATATCATAAAGATATCAACTTTCTCCCTATTAATTTATACAATTCCAATCAAAATTTTAAGGAACTCTATATAAAGGTTATATAGAAAGAATAAAATTCCACATATAGCCAAATGAACTGTTTAAACAGAAGAGTAAGGGAGTTCCTATTCTTCAAGGTATGTACTATGACTAACGTCACAGAAATTAAAATAGGGTAGCATTAGTGTAAGAACAGACAATAGTCCAAAAGAGCAGAAAAGAGCTTAGAAACAGAGCTATATATAATTTGGGAATGTAATATAAAATAAGGTTGGTACATAAACTAAGGGTGAATGGATATGTTTAGTACATAATATTGGTACAACTGGCTCACTATATTAAAAAAAAGTAAAACTATTGGAACAAGAATTAACAAAAAATTAAGAACAAGGGTAAGAAAAAAAAAGAAAAGCAAAACCATGTAATACCTATACATATAATGACATGTATAAGGGAGGATTCATGATGGATTAAAGATCTAAATGGGGATGGTAAAACCATACAGTTAGTTAAATATAATACAGAATATCTTTGTGAAATGAGGCCAGGGAAAGACTTCTTAAACAAAAAAGCATAAAGCACCAGACCAAAAAATGAATTTAATAACATCACAATTAATCATTTCTGGACTGAACTAAAGATACCAAGGACAAAGTTAAATCAATTTTTAAGAAAGATAGCAACTTCAATAAAGAAATGAGCAAAGGACAAAGACATCCAAATTATAGAAGAGAAAATCCCAAAGCGTGAACAGTATGATCACATTAACAGGCTGGCAGCACTACTTAGGCAAACTATTTGCACATCTCATGATCTAGCAATCCTACTTTTGGGCATAGATAGCAAAGAAATTCCTGTAAGAACATGTATGAAGATATACCCTGAAGCTGCATCTGTGATGACAGGAATTAGAAGCATTCCAGGTTCCTATCTCTAGAGAAGCGGACTGGTAAAATGTGGTGGAAACACATTCCAAGTATATATAGCAACATGGGTGGCCTTTAAAGGCATAGCTTTACATGAGAAAAGAAACAGTATCAATGTGTCGTTTATGCTACTCTGTACGGGGCATTTCCAAAATTAAAGTCAGTGGACATTTTCATTATCGAATACACTGAGTTGTGCTAATAAGGTCATATGGTATGGCTTCAGGTGAGCAATTTTCCTCTAATGAGTATTTCTCTGGCTTTCACACACTCCTAGCACAGTGTCTGGCATATATGAGTGGCTCAGTAAATGTATCTGAAACAATCAGAGAATGGCAAAGGCTTGCAGTAAGTAACTACCACAAGCAAGTTCTATTTTACTCCAGGGAGAGAACAGTTCCCAAGTTATAGCTTGGTGATTTGGTAATGTTAGACAAAGACAAATGAGATAATTTTTTTAAGGCAAGATCAACATATGATGCTACTACAGCAATATAAAGGAAACTGCTTATACCTTTAAGAAGAAACAATGTAATACTTCTTAGTTTATAATACTATAATACTGTGCTAGGAGTGTGTGAAAGCCAGAGAAATACTCATTAGAGGAAAATTGCTGACCTGAAGCCATACCATATGACCTTATTAGCACAACTCAGTCTTTATTAACTGAGACAGGAGAAGCTGTTGGCTTTTAATTGCGCTGTCCTCTAATATTTTTGCTATTTTGACTTCAACCAGATTGCACCTGTGAGATTACTAATTGGCTATACTTCAGTTATTATGTTACTCAGAAAATTTTTAAAAAGGCTCTTACTTTCCCATAATTGTTTTTGTTCTGTTTCACAGTACGGAAGTTAGGAAACATGTAAGCTTTAAGGCAGTATACTATGTTGTTTAAATTTAATCTAGCATCTTTAAAAAAATATTTTCAGATTATAATATCAAAAAATACTGAACCCCTCCCCCCATGGCTTTAACCATTGAAAAAAAAAACAACAACAAAAACAAACCTAACCAAAATATAGTTAGGCTGACCTCTGGTGGCCAGATGTCTCATTCTTCCGTAACTGACAAAATGGTGTGATGTCTCTGTTGGTGAGACAGCCAAGTTGAATACAATAAAGAAATACTAGCTGGCTCACGCCTGTAATTCCAACACTTTGGGAGGCAAAGGCGGGTGGATCACCTGAGGTCAGGAGTTCGAGACCAGCCTGGCCAACGTGGAGAAACCCGTCTCTATTAAAAATACAAAAAAGTAGCCAGGCGTGGTGGTGAACACCTGTAACCCAGCTACTTGGGAGACTGAGGCAGGAGAATTACTTGAACCTGGGGAGGCAGAGGTTGCAGTGAGCCAAGATTGCGCCATTGCACTCCAGCCTGGGCGACAGAGCAAGACTCTGTCTCAAAATAAAAATAAAGATAAATATTAGAAACATCACAAAGCAAAATTATGGGCAACACAAATGTTACCACATTCTTATCTTAACTAGCAGTTGAATATCTATAAAGTTTGAGGAATTAAGCAGGAGAATGGATAAGGTATGGCATATTAATACAATGGAGTGTGTCGCAGTTTCCTCATCTTAAAAGAAGATCAAAGTTATCCTACAGGGTTTGTGAGCAATAAACAAAGTAAAGTGCTTAGAATGATAAAGGTCAATCACGTGCAAGTTACTATTATTAATATATCAATATGAACCACAGCAATATTGATTGAAAAAAGCCAGAGGCACATATAATTATTCATTTAATGGTTAAAACATGCAAAATAGTACAATATCCTCATTCAGGGATTTATTTAGTCATTAACATAAAAAAATGTGTCATTAATATATAAAAATCTGCATGGTAAAAGTTAACAGTAAATTAAGAAAATCCATTACTTCTTCGGAGTGAAGGTAATTCAAAAGGAGAAAGAGGTACAGGTGGCTTTAGTAATGTTCTATTTCTTCAGCTGGCAGTAGGTTACTGAGGTGTAGGAGAGGGAAAAACGGCTTCCCTCCATCCTCCTAGGTTCTTTGGCTGGGTTACAAATTAACTTGACATAAACATTAACAAGAAAAAAAACCCGTACTTAACTACACATGCAGAGGAGTCCCACCATGGTCAGATGATTGAAGATTATACAGCATCCTACGCTACTCAAGAAATGGTGGTTTGCGGCTTTCTGGGGGATGGTTGGCCACAAAGTTGTGGAAAGGTGAGGGGAGGAAATAAACGGTGAATAAAAGTTGTCTTGATATGCAGATAAAATCTCCCAGGTAACAAAAATTATCGCAGAGCTGCCCTCTTCGTGATACAGATGCTTTACTGATGTATATTTCCTCTGTAGATGTAAATTTCTTTTACAACAGGACAGATTTTCAGAGTGACTCCTGTGTCTGCATTTTATCAGAATACCAGCTCAAAATATACCCTAGAAGTATACTGTAGGGTGGCATATTCTGTTCTCCTACAGTCTTATTTTTGGATGGTGCATCCTGAGATCCAACAGAAATTCTGCCTGATATAATTTCATTTAAAATTTAAAAACCTAGTTTTTACTCTTCTTTGTTTTAACCACTACCCGAAAGACCTTTCCATTCTCTTGAGTTCTCCCTTAATACACTGTCCTTATGCCCGCTTGTAAACAGGGCCTCGACAGCTGCATATCTAGAAACGGCAATAGCTAAGTTATCCCGCACCCCCTTCGCAGCGATCCCCGGGCCGCCTGCACCCCCTGCGGAACCTCGCAGTCGGCTTCACCAGGGCAGGGACTAAGGCCTTCAAAAGACCGCATCCGTCTCCACTAACCTCGGGTCGCCCAGCTTAGCGGACCCAGCAGCGTCTCCCTTCTCAGACGCGGCCGGGCCTCCGGAACGCGCTACGAACTTTCCTTTGTCGCCGTCTCTCGAAACGGAGCCCTCGTGTGGGGGGGATCCCCCGCCCTTTGGCCACAAGGGAGGTTGTTATCTTCGGCAGATCTTCCGTTCTCACCCTTGGAGGATCGCTTCTTCTTTCTCGCCTCACGCTCAACCGCACTACCCAGCTAGGCCTAACACTAGCAACCCTTCCCCTCCCGCGGCTAGGCCACTCCACTCCGCTCCCGCGCCGACACTACTTCCGGCCGAGTCAAGGTCCCTCCCCCTTAAAAACGCCACTTCCCTCGGTGAAAACTGTTGGACAAGGTTGAACCTAGACGCATGCGCCCAAAGCGCAGGGTGTGAGATGGGTGGACCCATCGCTTCCCGCTCTCTCCTCCCAGAGCGCTTGCAGCAGTCTCGCGGGATTTTCCCCTCTCGCGGCAATTATTTGAACGTTCGGGCGGTAAAGACTCCCGGGGCTGTCAGAGAAGACTGCGGAGAGCTCTGCCTCTGGGTTGGCGGGCGGGCAGGCTGTAGCCGAGCGCGGGCAGGACTCGTCCCGGCAGGGTTCCAGAGCCATGGGAGCGGAAAAGAGGCTGCTGTCGATTAAGGAGGCCTTTCGGCTGGCGCAGCATCCGCACCAGAACCAGGCGAAGCTGGTGGTGGCGCTGAGCCGCACCTACCGCACGGTAAGCGCGCCCGGCCCTGGCCGCCGCCCCGCGCCCGGCCCTGGCCGCCGCCCCTCGCCCGCCCTGGCCCACCCTCCCTCAGGGGCCCTCCGTGGCCCTCGGGCTCGGCGCACCGTGACTCCAGCCTTGTTCACCTTCGCGACTCACTTCATAGGGACCACCTGAGGTTCGGAGAAGTCAGGGATTTACCCGAGGTCGCCTGCGCCCAGGCCAGAAAGACTCGGAAGTCTGGGCGTCATTCACACGGGCCCCGCCTTGGCTTTTCTGAGCCGACACCCCCAGCCTCTGGGCGGCGTGGACCGTTATTCCTTAATCTGATTGTGAACGTGGAGAGAAGCATTTACAACCACCGAGGCTATCAGACATCAAATATTGAACCGCAGAGTGGATCCTGAATGCGGGGGTTCGGTGGTCGTTGCCCCTGGGGTCATCGTTCCCCGCCGACCGTCAAATGATTCTACCCTCGTCCCACGGTTACATTGAATCCAATCACCAAATACCAAATTAATCGTTAGGGCCTGGCCATTCTTATTTATGTACGTTACTATTTGTTTGTTTTGAGTGGAACCTTGAGAAGACTAGAACAATTAATTTGGGGAAGCTGAATTATCTTGAGGTCCAAGAAAAATTGTAAGTAAACATCGCAGGGCTTTGAGGATGTGAGATAGGATGTGCAGGTTATCTCATAAAGAAGCTGCTGGTGATAGGAAGAGATAGGAAGACCTGAATATGAGAAATATAAAAGGCAGTATTGATTTTGGGTTGTTGATGAAGAAGCGTATTTGTAATGTACTGGTACTAAAGGCTTATTGAGAATTCAAAGATATTGAAAAAAACAATCAAAGGAATCTTTTTACTGTCAAAAGTCAAGCTCGTGTACTCCCATTATAGCCTGGAGAGAAATTCATGCAAATTGATTGCCCTTTTGCTGGTTTGGATAATTAAGAGTTTACTAACTAAAGATTTTAATTTGTCTGCATTATTATGGCTAGTGCTTTCAGAAGTCTTAGGGTGATGTTGGGAATAAAGGATTTCTGTCGGTGCAGTTTATGAAGGGTTTCTTTTGTCTTTCAGATGGATGATAAAACAGTTTTTCATGAGGAGTTCATACATTACCTTAAATATGTTATGGTGGTCTATAAACGTGAACCAGCTGTGGAGAGGGTAATAGAATTTGCAGCAAAGTTTGTTACCTCGTTTCACCAATCGGATATGGAAGATGATGAGGAAGAGGAAGATGGTGGCCTTTTAAATTATTTGTTTACTTTTCTCTTAAAGGTACTATGAAAATGATAGCTTTGGGGAGGGATTTTAGAACATTTTGCCACTTAAGAGTCGTGGGAGTTTGTATGTTTTTGACAATGAAATATCTAGTGATTTAAAAAATCTGAATGAGTCTACGTTTTATGGGAAATATTAGAATTATCATTATGATTAAAAAGTGGACTTTAACTCCAACATTAAATTTTTAATGACCTCTTTAAACCAGTTCTCCTATGTTTATTTTAAATGAGTTCTGTATTTTAGAAGCTGCTACACAGAGGACTATGTAACTTAGCAAAGACTTCTTTCAGACTGTTTATTTTGAGACTGTATAAAATATATATATTGCTATACATATGGACCAAGGTAGCATTATAAGTTCTCTTCAGGAAATGAATTGTTGTTGTAACTTCTTGCATTCTGAATATATAGAGTTCAGATAATATTGATTATTTGGGAGTGGTATGTGACTATGAATAAGTTTTGATTTGTTTTCTGTTTTAGTCTCATGAAGCAAACAGCAATGCAGTGAGATTTAGAGTGTGCCAGCTCATAAACAAGCTTTTGGGAAGTATGCCAGAAAATGCTCAGATTGATGATGATGTGTTTGATAAAATTAATAAAGCCATGCTTATTAGATTGAAAGATAAGATTCCAAATGTGAGAATACAGGCAGTTCTGGCGCTTTCACGACTTCAGGATCCCAAGGATGATGAATGCCCAGTGGTTAATGGTGTGTGTAGTTTCCTAAATCTTTTTCAGATTTGTTGATTTTGTTAAGTTCTCAGTATTTGAAACTTTTTATTATGGTCTATACATATGAAGAGTATCAGTAATTAATATATGATTCAGATAAAAAAAAAAAAAACCTAAGTAGCAACCACCCTGCTTAAAAAAAAAAATCAGTACTTGCATCCTATCCCAGCTGCATCCCTGTCCCTCAGAAGTAACTATTATCCTCAGTTTTGGGTTAATTAGTCTCTTACTTAAATTAAAAAAAAATTTTTTACATAAATCACATGTCTATCTTAATGTTTTCCTATCATTTTGTGTAAATCATGCTGTATGTATATGTTTAGCAGCCAGTTATATTTCTATATAATACCTGTTACTGTGTTTTGCCCATTTTTTCATTGGGTTTTTAATTTAAAATACTATTTAAAAAAATTCATTTGCGTTCTTTATATATTTTGAAAAGAAATCCTTGGGTCATATGAATTGTATATCTCTTTCTGCTTTAGGTGGCTCATTGGGGTATCATTGTTTCACTCCCTTTGGGATATCTTTTTTTTTGAACAGAAATTCTTATGTCAAAAATATAAATCTCTGCCATTATCACTGGTATATTTATCACTATAGTAGTTGGTATTTTTTTTGGTGTTAAAATATACCCATAATATTGTGTAAAACATAGATATTTGTTTTTTTTTTTTTTTTGAAAAGGTAGCTGCTTTATTTTTAAAAAAAATTTTTTTTATTATTATTATACTTTAAGTTCTAGGGTACATGTGCATAACGTGCAGGTTTGTTACGTATGTATACTTGTGCCATGTTGGTGTGCTGCACCCATCAACTAAACATAGATATTTGATAGTCAACATGTACTTAATAATTGAGTGGGAAAGATGTGAGAAGTACAGATAAATATATTTAAATATAAGAAATGAGTTTGTTTCAATGAATAAAACCAAAAAATATTTCCTTTTAGGTCTCATTAAAAAACCAAAATAATGGGCCCTTATAAAGCCATTATCAGTTTAAAATAAACTGCTATATTAAGCTTTCTCTTAAATACTGAGGAGTAGCACAGACATAATCTTTATGATTAATTTACCATGACTGTTAGGGCTATTTGCTTTCACTTTTGGCCTTAGAGCCAGTCCGTTGACTAATTCCCCCTTGTGTCTTTAGAAGGGAAGTTCGTGACCTGTGCAGCAGTGACTCAGGCCTGTAATCTCAGCACTTTGGCTCCAACCTGGGCAACATAGCGAGAAGGAAGTTGGTGGGAAAAAAGCTTAATGTGTAAGGCTAAAAAAAGGACATTATTTCTCTTATAGATGGGTTCTCACTCAGGCCGGATAGAAGAGGTGCGGCCTCAAACTCCTGGGCTTAAGTGATCCTTCCACCTCAGCCCCCTAAGTAACTGGAATCGCCACTACTATGCCTAGCTAATTTTTTATTTCAAAATTATTTTGTAGTGACAGGGGTCTTGCTATATTGCCCAGGCTGGTCTTGAACTCTTGGCTTCAAGCTCTTCACCTACCTTGGCCTCCCAAGTGCTGGTTATAGGCATTAGCCATCGTGCCCAGCCTATCTTTATCATATTAAAGGCATTTTAAAATATCAAAATGTGTGTTATTTTATGACTATAGTTAAATAAATAATTTCTTCAGTACCAAAATGTATTGCTTTATTTTTAGCATATGCTACTTTGATTGAAAATGATTCAAATCCAGAAGTTAGACGGGCAGTGTTATCATGTATTGCACCATCAGCAAAGACTTTGCCAAAAATTGTAGGGCGCACCAAGGATGTGAAAGAGGCTGTCAGAAAGCTGGCTTATCAGGTAAATAAGTTCAGTGTCTTGTGTTGGCATATTCTTAAGGGACAAGAAGCCATTTTCTTAAAGTGCCTTTGAAAAATACTTGGCATGTAATAATTTCTTCAATTGAGGTTTTATGGAGAACACAGGTGATTTAGGTAGAATCTTACTGTATTAAGTGTGTTACCAGGTATTAATGTTGGAGATCCTGGGTAATTTTCTAAGATGGTGATGTTCTTATGAAATCTGTAAATTGTGTTGAGGTTAATGACCATCTTTATAAATTATTTTTAAGGTTTTAGCTGAAAAGGTTCATATGAGAGCTATGTCCATTGCTCAGAGAGTAATGCTCCTTCAACAAGGTCTTAATGACAGATCAGGTAAGATAAACAACTTTATATATACAAAACTTTAGTAGATTTTGAGGTTAGACTTAACAAGGTTTAGGAAAAAAGTGTCAAATCAGGTCAAGTAAGCCTGCCAGTCCCATGAACCTGGTGAAATTTATCTTGATGTATTATATAGAAAACATAGGGCTAAAGATCTTGATATGTATATATTTTTGAGACGGAGTCTCGCTCTATCACTCAGACGAGTACAGTGGCTCCATCTTGGCTCACTGCAATGTCCGCCTTCTGGTTTCAAGTGGTTCTCCTGCCTCAGCCTCCTGAGCAGCTGGGATTACAGGTGCACATCACCATGCCTGGTTAATTTTTATATTTTTGTAGAGACGGGGTTTCACCATGTTGGCCAGTCTGGTCTTGAACTCCTGACCTCAAGTGATCCACCTGCTTCGGCCTCCCAAAGTGTTGAGATTACAGGCATGAGCCACCGCATCCAGCCAAGATCTTGGTATTTTGAAGGAGCAGAGCTTATTTCTTTCACCCTTTCTGTGTTTTACAGATGGAGAAACAATACTTAAGTCTGTAGAGCTAATTCATGTTAGAAGTAGGAAAAGATCTGTTTGCCCTCTCTTCCTTAAAAAAAAAAAAAACGCTGTTCCTTATGTGTATACCGTGGTATGAATGTGTTCTGTGTATCAGAAACAACAGTTAGGAATGGTCAGACCAGTATAATTTTCCTTTTTTTTTTTTCTGTTAGAGTAGCATTCCCCAACATTTTTGGCACCAAGTATCGATTTCATGGAAGAAGTTTTTCCACAGAGGGTGGACTGGATGGTTTCCAGATGAAACTGTTCCACCTCAAATCATCAGGCATTACTTAGATTCTCATAAGGAGCGCGCACCCTGGATACCTCATGTGCGCAGTTCATAATAGAGTTCCTGCACCTAAGAGAATCTAATGCGTCTGCTGATCTAACAGTAGGAAGAGCTCAGGCGGTAATGCTCATTAGACCACGGCTTACCTCCTGCTGTGCGGCCCGGTTCCTAACAGGCCACAGACTGGTACTAGTCCATGGCCCAGGGGTTGGGGAGCCTAAGACAATCTGCTTATAAGAATGATATTTTTTGAAATTTTTAACTCCCACGAGAAGGCCAAGATGGCTCTATTGTGCTATAGTGAGAAAACCGACTTGAGTTTGAAAGCATTGTCAGAGAATTAATTACTAGGATGACCTTAAAAGCTAAGACTAAGGTTCATTTGGTGATGTATGCTTGTATAGTTCACTACTGCAAATAGCAATTGTATAATAGATGAAATCAGGTAACAAGTGAAATAATAGCTATTACATATTCTGGGCTAACACCTGAAGCTCATTGAACCCAGGGGAGAAGGAATGTAAAGATATTTGTGTAGGCTGTGGTATTTCGTGCTGAGCCTTTTCCATTTTTATTTGTAAGTGGCCATCACAGTGACTTTTGCAGTATCACAGTACTTCTTTTTTTTTTTCCTTTAATATGCTTAGTTGGCTGGGCGCTGTGGCTCACACTTGTAATCCCAGCACTTTGGGAGGCCAAGGCAAGTGGATCACGAAGTCAAGATATTAAGACCATTCCAGCCAACATGGTGAAACAAAAATTAGCTGGGCGTGGTGGCGCACGCCTGTAGTCTCAGCTACTCGGGAGGCTGAGGCAGGAGAATCGCTTGAACCCAGTAGGTGGAAGTTGCAGTGAACCGAGATGGTGCCACTGCACTCGAGCCTGGTGACAGAGCGAGACTCTGTCTCAAAAAAAAAAAAAAAAAAAAAAATATATATATATATCTCTCTCTCTCTCTCTCCTTAGTTGTGTCTCTTAACCTCTACTATTTCTATTGTAAATATTGACTTTGTTAATTAAAATAGACAAAATACAAGAGATGGAAGCTAGAGGGAGCCTTTGTTCACCTATGTTTCAAATGACTCAATAGATGCTGTGAAACAAGCTATGCAGAAGCATCTTCTCCAAGGCTGGTTACGGTTCTCTGAAGGAAATATCTTACAGTTGCTTCATCGGTTGGATGTAGAAAATTCTTCTGAAGTGGCAGTCTCTGTTCTCAATGCCTTGTTTTCAATGACTCCTCTCAGTGAACTGGTGGGACTTTGTAAAAACAATGATAGCAGGTACATAAAGGATTCATTCTTTGAAATGTAATACTGATTAACTTATGCAATTAGTTTGTTTTTTTCATCCCCATAGCTTAAGATTATATTAATACCTTTAATCTTACCTCTCTCTTGTTTTCTTTTAGTCTGATGAATATCTTTTTTCCCTTCCTTTTGCCCCTGCTGGTGTAAGAACTTGTTACTTTATCATAGACTATCTACTTTAGCTAAGTGTTTTCCCCCCTTCAATTTCTTACTTTGATTTTTGAATTAGCTTACCATGAGAAAATCCAGCAACATGCACCCCTAGTATATGTTTGCTTATTTGGTTCTTTTTTGTTCTAAGTTTCTTCATTCCTTTTTGTGTGGATACATTAATGACTAATTAAAAGGATAGTGTGGAAGTTTTAAAGCAAATGTTCTTATTCCCATTTTTGTACTATTCCATTTTTAATGATAAAAAGATCATGCTTTCTCTTACACTCTTTCTTTTAAATGAAGGAAATTGATTCCAGTGGAAACATTAACTCCTGAAATTGCTTTGTATTGGTGTGCCCTTTGTGAATATTTGAAATCAAAAGGAGATGAAGGTGAAGAATTTTTAGAGCAGATTTTGCCAGAGCCTGTAGTATATGCAGACTATTTACTGAGGTAAATTTTTTTTCTTTTAGTTTGGAAAGTGATTGTGTTGCTGCATGTGTCAACCTTCCAGCTCCCTTCCTCAAAGTCATGCTTAATTGTGAATAGGTTAAAAATCCGTTTTTTGTACATGCAGGGGTAGTTATATACATTGAGTCTTTTTGAATATCTTGTGCTGGTCTGTATACTGAAAGAGCAAGTCACTATGTTTAGGATCATTTCTTCAAAACTGTTAAGATATAAGTATGACCATTTCTGCATAAAGTTGATAATGATGATATATTATTTCTGAAATTGGTTGGCACATTTTCTGTTAAGTGTCAGATAATAAATATCTTAGGGTCCTGTGGGCCATACCATCTGTCACAATGACTCAACTCTGCCATGGTATCGTAAAAGCAGCCAAAGATAATGTAAATAACTGTTTTTCAAGAAAACTTTTATTGACTTTTATGGCCACTAAATAGTTGAACTTTAATATTCGTGTGTTAGCAAAATAAGAAATTAAAAAAAAAGATCAGTTAAAAATTTAAGATACTCTTAGCTTGCAAGCTATATAATAGGTAGTAGTCTGGATTTGATACACGAACCATTGTTTTCCAGTTCACAGCGTGGATCTTTGTGGCCAGTTTTATTTATTCAAAACTTACTATCTGGCTTCATGTTTTAAAGTTTTTTCAAAAACAATTTGGATTATCATAATTATACCTATTAAGAAATTATTTGGATTACTTTATTTCACTTTAAAATTATATAAGAAAAATATGAATGCATTCTTGTCAAAATTCAAATACAGAGGTATATAGAATAAAAATGTGGAATCCCCCTTTTATTTCCTACTTCCTCAATCCCACTGATTAGCAACTAAGTGTAGATTCTAGCAACCCTTAGAATTAGCAACTAAAAAATATAGGGTATATATTCAAACCTCTTTCTCTGCATTTATATGCATTTTTTGAATATAGGTTTCTTTAAAAATATAACACTGTATATATACTGTTTTTTTTTTTCAGCTGATACCTGAGATCATTATATATTGGTGCATATATAATGTAATAGATGCTGTTACAGTCTTAACAGCATATCATTCCATAGTATGGTGGTAACATTTAATTTATTCCTCTGTTGATGGACATTTAGGATGTTTCCATTTTTCCCTGATAAAAGCAAAAGTATGTTAAACTTCCTTTACATTTTTAGGTACCTTTGGGGGTTAATTCCAAGAAATAAGTTGCTACACCAAAGGATAATATATGTATATTTTGATAGATATTGGTATGTAGGTTTTTAACTCTAACTTCTATGCTTTTTTTTTTTGAGACAGAGTCTTGCTCTGTCGCCAGGCTGGAGTGCAGTAGTGCGATCTCGGCTCACTGCATCCTCCGCCTCCCGGGTTCAAGTGATTCTCTTGCCTCAGCCTCCTGAGTAGCTGGGACTACAGGCACGTGCCACCATGCCCAGCTAATTTTTGTAATTTTAGTAGAGATAGTGTTTCACCATGTTGGCCAGGATGGTCTTGATCTCTTGACCTCGTGATCTGCCTGCCATGGCCTCCCAAAGTGCTGGGATTACAGGCGTGAGCCACAGTGCCCAGCCTGATGTATTTTTTTAAAAAAAGCTTCCATATAATATTAATTATGGGACTGAATTATCTGTATGAAATAACACTTCTCTGCTTTTGTTTAAAATGATCTCACATAGATGTTAGGCAGCAAAGCTGTGCATGCCTCTAAATTTCCCCCACAAAAATCCTAAATCTAGGATAAGTATCTCAAATATGAGCCAGTAGGGAAACTATAGCTCAAGCCCATATTAACATCATGAAGAACCTGTGTGAATCTAATGAGCGTTTTAATGTTAATTATTTCAGACTTTGACGTTTAATTAGGGAATTCATTATAATGCTGTTTGGGCCATGTTGAAATGCTTCCGAAAGGAATGAGTTTGTGGCAAAGTTTAATAGTATGTATTAATATAAAAGAAGTTTATAGGAGGTAGTGAAAATACAAGAAAATATGAGGAAATATTAAATATTTAAATGGCATAAAGCGGGAGGAGTTTTCCTCAAGGACAGCATCAGAAGGTGACTTGTTAAGAGCTTGTTCCTCCCTTCTGAAAGGTCAGGGATTAACATTTCCTTTGTCACTCAGTCTTTGAGTTTTGAAGTAAGGAACTTTAACCTCATTGGCTTATTTTCTTCACCTTTAAAGAGGAAAACTTTCGGCCAGGTGCGGTGGCTCACGCCTGTAATCCCAGCACTTTGGGAGGCCGAGGCAGGCGGATCATGAGGTCAGGAGATCAAGACCATCCTGACCAACATAGTGAAACCCCGTCTCTACTAAAAATACAAAAAAATTAGCTGGGCATGGTGGCAGGCACCTGTATTCCCAGCTACCTGGGAGGCTGAGGCAGGAGAATGGCATGAACCCAGAAGGCAGAACTTGCAGTCAGCTGAGATAGCGCCACTGAACTCCAGTCTGGGCGACAGAGTGGGACTCTGTCTCAAAAAAAAAGAGGAAAACTTTCAGAAATTTATTTTAGTGATTGTTGAAAGAATACCTGAAAAATAGAATGACTGTCTTTTTGGAGCAATATGACTAGATGGGATTAGTATACTTGAGTACAGAAACAAATTGACAAATTGTTTCCTGATAATCTCAGGAATATAGTTTCAGACATATTGTATGTTTTAGGCAGTAGATTCAATGACTGAGAACTCTGATGTGAAACAATTTAGGTTAACCGAGGTGCTCACTTAAAGAGCAAACAAGGACCTGAGGATTATCAAACTAGAGTAAGTAAAAAGGACAACAATAAAATTTGTTGAAAGTCGTCTTAAGTATAAATTCTTAGACTTTAAAATACTTTCTTGAGTGGTCTCTTCATTATAATAAATATCTTTACAAATGGTTAAGAGAAGATGTCATGGTAACTAAAATTGATGGGTCAGTTTTAAGTTGTATTTATGCAGTTGGGGATTTTTAATCTATAAATTAAACAACTATTTGAATTTACTTAAAAAAATACCCTCGGCCAAGATGCTATGCATTTTGCTAAAGCTGGGCTGGAGAAATGGGGAGAGATCCAAAGATGAGTATAAATGAAGGTTTTCTTTTAGCCTGTCAGAAAAGAGTAACTCTACTGATTGGTTGATTTTGATAGTTATCAGTTGTGTAGTTTTCCTTAGTTTCCTACTAGAACCCAAAGGGTGGCTGATGTCTTGAAAGTCCTAATCTTGTGGCCAGAAATTTATGAGCTTTTATTTACTCTTGGTCATCACCTTGTAATACATGAGAATATACTCATTCATTATACAATATACCACAATTTCTGTAACTTGATTTTTGTTCACTTTTTTTTTTGGAGATGTAGTCTTGCTTTGTTGCCCAGGCTGGAGTGCAGTAGCGTGATCTTGGCTCACTGCAGCCTCTGCCTCCCAGGTTCAAGCAATTCTTCTGCCTCAGCCTCCTGAGTACCTGGGATTACAGGTGCCCACCACCACATTCAGCTAATTTTTGTATTTTTAGTAGAGATGGGGTTTCACCATGTTGGTTAGGCTGTTTTTGAACTGACGTCAAGTGATCCGCCCGCCTTGGCCTCCCAAAGTGTTGGGATTACAGGTGTGAGCCACTGTGCCTGGCGACATTTTTTAAATGACATTTTTGATCAGGATTGTTTTTCATGTTACTTCCATCTTAAAGGCACTTCAGTAAGCTTAAACTCTTAGTTCTACTTTTAAGTAGCTTTTTTTATTCCACACAAAAAGCAGAGGCTACTGAATATACAGCCCTCTTGGTGAGGATTATAAAGGGCTTTAGTTTGGGTGGTGATGTCTGTAGTAAGAATAAAAGGGTGAAATAAAAGGTAGCTGATGGTGGTGGGATATACAGAGATTAGTAGGGTTCCTAAGAAAGAATAATAAACGTTTGTGAAATTGTTTATATTTTTCTGATTTTTTCAAAAAAGTTAATTGTGTTCATGGATTACTTGTGTAATTATTGTTACAATTGTTTAAAATAAAAGAATAATTAGGCATGATGAAGATTAGATCTTTTTTTTTTTTTTTTTTTGAGATGGTGTCTTGCTCTGTCACCCAGGCTAGAGTGTAGTGGTGTGATCCTGGCTCACTGCAACCTCCGCCTCCTGGGTTCAAGCAATCCTCCTGCCTCAGTCTCCCGAGTAGCTGGGATTATAGGTGCCCACCACCATTCCCAGCTAATTTTTTTGTATTTTTAGTAGAGAATGGGGTTTCATCATCTTAGCCAGGCTGGTCTCGAACTCCTGACCTTGTGATGCACCTGCCTCGGCCTCCCAAAGTGTTGGGATTACAGGTGTAAGCCACTGTGCCTGGCTGAAGATTAGATCTTTATGACTAATTGGATTTTTGGGCAGGGGATTCAGAACTTGATAGATACTTCTTGACTTATAGTGGGGCTACATCATAAGTCAAATGAGTTTAATTCTCAGATAAACTCATCCTAAAGTTGAAAAATTGTAAGTTGGACCATATGTAATTGGGGACCATCTATAATTGGGAGAATGCTAGTGACATTGAAATAATTAGTTATCAGTTAGACATAAATATGTACCTTTTGAAAATTTCCCATAGAAAATTTGAGTCACTATTGAAAATACATTTTCCAAATTCTTTTGATTCATCTATAAGTTTGTTTGCAAAAGTTAATGACGGTGGCATAGAATTGAGTTTGTAGACCAAATTACATGGTATAGACATGTATGTATTTAGACTAACATGACCTGAAAATGCCCCTTTTCTGACCTAATGGTGGGAATCAACTCTTGTTTGATGTTTCTTAACAGATTCTACTTTATTAATTCTGCTTGTTTTAGTTATATGCAGAGTATTCCAGTTGTTAATGAAGAACACAGAGGTGATTTTTCCTATATTGGAAATTTGATGACAAAAGAATTCATAGGTCAACAATTGATTCTAATTATTAAGTCTTTGGATACCAATGAAGAAGGAGGAAGGTATGTTTAAATGTTAACTCTCATTCTAATTTGCCCTTCTAATTTGTTATAGTGAAATATAGTCCTTTTACAATATAACTAAACATATTTACCCTAGCTCTCTAAAGTGGTATAAAAAGTTTTCTTTTCCCTTTTGCCTTCTATGTATTTCCATATATACACACACATTTATATTTCTAGTTCAATTTCTTCAGAATAAATCAATGAAATTGCAGTTTTTGGTTAAAAGTTTCTGTTTAGATTTATTAAGGCTAGTAGCATTTTCTAAAAGGTTTAATCATTTCTGGTATTTTGTCATTTTATCCTATTGATTTATTAAAAATCATAGGGTGTTTTATAAAAAATTTTTGTGTGTGGAATGAGAATATTTGACCTAAAGTCTGTACATACAGAGTTTTGTACCTATTATAGTGATAAACCTAAGTGAAAGAACTGAAACAAACATAATTAAGTCTGCAGAGTAGGTGAATGTTAGACATAAAACATGTTTCGTCATAATGATATTTAAATTAGTTCTTTTTGACTGCAGAAAAAAACTGCTGGCTGTCTTACAGGAGATTCTTATTTTACCCACAATCCCAGTATCCCTGGTTTCTTGTCTTGTTGAAAGACTACTCCACATCATTATAGATGATAATAAGAGAACACAAATTGTAAGTAATTTTCCTCATTGTTGATAAAGAGGTTTTGGTCAATGACATTGAATACTGTCTTATTTTCTCTTTAGAACATTTTGTTTTGTCTTTGTTTTGTTTTAGTTTTGTCTCTTTAATGAGTTTTAAAATTTCTTAAAACCAATTATCTATCTCTTACATACACAGAATGTTTTTAAAAATCACCTTCTTCCTCTTAGTGTACCTGTTATTGTTGAATCAGTTTGAAATGGAGCAGGTTTGGTAGGAAGTTACAAGTAGGGTATGGTTTTGTCCATGAGGCACTGGGTGCTAGTGTTTCTGAGAGCTTACTCAAATTATACATACCTGGGTTTAGAATCTCCTCTGACACTTTCTGGCTTTGTGGCCTTGGACAAGTTATTCTGCCTTTTTACATGTCTGCAAATAAGAATAGCAATGAAATCTACCTTTCATTGTTCAATGAGGTATTGTTCATAAAAGTATTGTTCTATATTGCTTGATAAATACAGAAATAATTGTTTACTATAATACTATTTCAGTGTTATTTTTTTCTGGCATAGCCAAAAAAGACAGATCTATATCATTTATTTCGTAAAAATCATGTAATTTCAGTTGCAGGTTAATTCACAGGTCATCTCTTCCATCCTCTCCTTATATATACACACCCCTTCTACAACATACTTAGTTGTTATTCAGCATCCGCTTAAATACTTTTATTTGGGAGGCAGCCTTTTCCTGATCAACCAGTTCCAATATACAAGTGGTTCTGAAAGGAAAGTCTTTCCTTATGCTGTTATTATTTATGCATTGTTTACCCAAAGGAAGAATAAAAGGATATTCCATTTTTCTGTGTTTAAATCCTACAGAGCTGAACAAGACAAGGGTTGAGGATTTCAGGCAGAGAATTTATTAGTGTCTCATCTTAAGCACCATAATTCATTTTTCTGTTTTTCAAACATTATATGAGGGATAATTTACTTTCAGTGTCTGTGTGCCTATTTACTTTCCATTCAAATAATTTCATTTTGTAGTCAGATGTATTTTTTTTTTCTAAAATTGTCTAGCAAACAGAGTATGTGCTATTTCTATCTGTATATTTTTGCTCTATTATTCAATATATGGTAGATACTACTTGGAGTTTTATATAGAATTTTGATACTATTTGCTGATATGTCAATGCTGATATATCAAACATATATTAAAGCATGTACTCTGAATCTTAACTTATCAGGTTACAGAAATTATCTCAGAGATTCGGGCGCCCATTGTTACTGTTGGTGTTAATGATGATCCAGCTGATGTGAGAAAGAAAGAACTCAAGGTAAGTCTCTTTTAAATGAAAGAAGTGCTTGAGTGTAATGTAGTTGTACAAGTCTATTCTTTCCTCTTGCTGTGCAGTTCTGAAATGTTTCTCACATAGTCAAATTATTTAATTGTTAAACTATAAGAATATTTAAAATGTTACCACATATGTCAGTCTCAGATATGCAGATCTCTGTGTCAGGAAAATTATGAGTTTGCATATGCCTGACTCATTAAATTCTGGGCAGTTGAGATATTAAATAATGTGTCTGAATTGCTACAGATACTCATATTAACAGTTTTTGTTCAATGTTGAAACAATTTATATCTTCCCTTAGATGGCTGAAATAAAAGTTAAGCTTATTGAAGCCAAAGAAGCTTTGGAAAATTGCATTACCTTACAGGATTTTAATCGGGCATCAGAATTAAAAGAAGAAATAAAAGCATTAGAAGATGCCAGAATAAACCTTTTGAAAGAGACAGAGCAACTTGAAATTAAAGAAGTCCACATAGAGAAGGTACAGGTAACTTTTTTCATACTAAATCTCAGGTGTTATTAATCATCTCAACTAAATCTTATTTTCTCCAACTTCTAGAATTGCCAAAATATATTTACTTTGAGCACTTTATAACAGTGACATGAATTAAAATGAAAAAAGTTTTTCCCTGTTTCTATTTTTGGACTTTGAAAGGCCTTAATTAACTTTAATTATTGTAGGTAAGACTTTATTTGCTTCCTTGTCATGCTAATCTCTAGAATCCGAAGTATTTCTTGCCAGGGAAGCTAGCTTTCCAGTGGTTCACATCTGAGTTTTCTGGTATTTTGTCTTGAATGGTTTAAAAAAGGAAAATAGATCCATTTTTCTCTTATTTGTGGAAGATCCATGACCTTTTTTATTGCTAGCAAAATAATTTCTATGGTAACTGCATTTTTTAAAACTAAATTACTTTTGTGTTTTTAGAAAAAGCTAAGCAGCTTTGTTATTTTTGATGACATACTAAACTTATATGTCTAGTAACATTTAAAGCTTGCTTTTCAGTAGTTTGTTTTTTAAAAAATTAGTTTGTTGGCCGGGCGCGGTGGCTCACGCCTGTAATCCCAGCACTTTGGGAGGCTGAGGCGGGCGGATCACAAGGTCAGGAGATGGGGAGACCATCCTGGCTAACACGGTGAAACCCCGTCTCTACTAAAAATACAAAAAATTAGCCAGGCGCGGTGGCGGGCGCCTGTGGTCCCAGCTACTCGGGAGGCGGAGGCAGGAGAATGGGGTGGGCCCGGGAGGCGGAGCTTGCAGTGAGCGGAGATCGCGCCACTGTGCTCCAGCCTGGGCGACAGAACAAGACTCCCGTCTCAAAAAAAAAAAAAATTAGTTTGTTAAAGTAGTCTCTTAAATGGATTATTTCTTTCCTCCCTAAAGAAATTTTTTGTTAATGGTATTGATACCGTTCTGTCTTATAACAAATGATAAATGTGTAAACATAAGATAGGTATCAATTAATATTTGATATTAACTTTAATTTTTTTTGTGATCTTGCCTTTTCTAATGAACATCATTTTATTGTGATTTTGGGATGTGTTGATTAGAGTATTCTCATAAAAAGAATGCTAAATAGGAGACTGTATAGGAGAGTTTCATGACTTATGTTTCTGATCTCTTTGGCTATAGACATCCCAACTCCAGCACCCACCTTTCCAGAGAGTATGCCTGAATTTTATTTTTATTACTGGTGGCTTTTATTTGACAAAGTCTGTGGGCCATTATAGGCTATTAAATTTGGAAAGTAAATTTAAAGCAAAAACTGAAAATATCATCTGAAAAATGACAAACTGTAGCTTAAAATTCTAAAATTAGCAAAAGTAGTCTATCATGGTTAATATCATCTGTTTAACTCGACTCGCTTTGATCATTTATGTGTCTGTTTGTCCTGTTTGAGGGCTACAAATGTGTTAAGATGCAACTACAACAGAGCATAATGGATGCTATGGTCAGGTAAGTATAGAGGTTTTATGGAGAGGTATCTAATGCTGGTAGAGTATTGTTGGCTTCCCCAGAGGAAGACATGTTTTATCCTGAGATTAGAATAAAAATAACAATATAATCTAACAGTTAGAGGATACTTTTTCTGTGGTAGTCACAGCATCAATTACTTCACAAATGTGAATTCATTCTTTTCTTACTATAGGCCTATGAGGTTGGTACTATTATTATCTTCATTTTACAAAGGGCAAGTAACTCGCCGAAAATCACACAGATAGTAAATGGTGGAGGCAGGATTTAAACCCAAGAAGTGGCTCTAGACTTGTGCTTGTGACTCACTCTGTGCTGTCTCTCCTCAATGAATTATGGAGGGAATGTTGTAGACAGATGGAACAACATCTGTGATGGTCCAGAAGTTAAAGAATGCCTGTTGTGTTTTAAAACTTTAGGTCCATGTGACTAGAGAATTGACGGGGAGAGGCAGGAGAGAAATCTGGGGAAAAATTAAGACCTAGGTCACGTAAGGCCTTGCGTAAGCAATACTAAAAATTTTGTATTCTAAGGATCATGGTGAACCACTAGTATTTTAAGTGGTTAGGTAAGTCTTATGTCTCAGATCACTGTTGTTTAGGAAATGGATTGGAGAGTAGTAAAAGCTTAGACAGGCATAATAGTTGGGAGACTTAGAGTAGGGTTGGGAGACTTACAGATGGTGGTAGTCTGAACAAGATAATGACAGTGGATGTGGAAAGTAGTGATGAACTTTAGAGGTATTTATAAATTAGTAACAGGGAGAAAAGGGAGTCAGGAATGTATCTTAGGTCTTTTGGTTTAGACAACTGGGTAGATGGTGATGACGGCATGAAGTTAGAGAACAAGGAAGAGGAGAGATTTGTGTAATGATGAGTTCCCTTTTGGACATGTTGAGTTTGAGGAGACTGGCACATCCAAGAGGAGATGTCTTTTAGCAGTTGTATATATGAATCTGAAACTTAGAAAATAGCTGGGCTAGCTCATAGATGATAAACGAGGTTGTCAGGTTTTTTTTTTTTTTTTTGGAGATGATAATTAGGCAGGATGAAGATTAGACCTTTTTTTTTTTTTTTTGAGGCAACCCTCTGTCGCCCAGGCTGGAGCACAGTGGCATGATCTCAGCTCACTGCAACCTCCGCCTCCTGTGTTCACGCCATTCTCGTGCCTCAGCCTCCCAAGTAGCTGGGACCACAGGTGTGCACCACCACACTAATTTTTGTGTTTTTAGTAGAGATGAAGTTTTGCCATGTTGATCAGGCTGGCCCCAAATTCCTGGCCTCAAGTGATCTACCCGCCATGGCCTCCCAAAGTGCTGGGATTACAGGTGTGAGCTGTTGCGCCTGGCTGAAGTTGTCAATTTTAAAATCCTGCCTCTACCATTTACTATCTGTGATAGCTGTAAGATCACCTACAGAGTCTATATAGAGGGACAGTATGCCCTACACAAAGCCCTGAGAAAGCAAACATTTAAGGGATGGGGAGAAGATATTACTAATGCTGAATATTTTGTCTTCATTTTAGAATGATGCTGAAACATTGCAGAAATGTCTTATTTTATGCTATGAACTGTTGAAGCAGATGTCCATTTCAACAGGCTTAAGTGCAACCATGAATGGAATCATCGAATCTTTGGTATGTTGATGGCCTCTTGGGCTTTATTTTAGTCCACTCCTTTCTTATTTTATAAGTAATATGTTCTTTAGAAATCAAAATAATGAAAAGATTACTGTCTTAAATATCTAAGTATAAATGATAAATATATATATATAGCAGTTACTTCATATTGTGAGGATTAAATAAGATAATGCCTGTAAAGGACTTGATATATAAGTTACAGTCTCTTAAAGATTTGAAAAAATGATTTTATACTGGAAAGAGATACCGAATATCTTCATTTTTTGAATAGTAAGAGAGGAGATACTGAAACATACCAGGAATATTTAAGTTCTGGAATCGTGCTATGTAATGAGACTGAGACAATCATATTTTATGCCCTGGGAAAGGAATTTATTTACTATATTTAAAGGGCTTTTAAAATAACCCTTTGTAGGTAATTCCCATAGGGACACAAGTACTGTAAGACTCTCGAACATTACTTTCTGATAAGGAATATAGTGCAAAGCATATGTAACTTTACATGTTTTAGTAACCACATTAAAAAAAAAAGGATAATTTTAGTATGTTGAATATATCCAACTGTATTATTTGGATATATCCAATATATCCAAAATATTAATCATTTCATTATTTACTCACTAGTAAAACTGTTGCAATATTTTACATTCTGTTTTGCATACTAAGTCTTAGCACATCTTAAACTGGACTAGTCACATTTCAGGTGTTCAGTAGCCACATGAGGCTAATGGCCACAGTATTAGTGCACTGTTTTGTTGTTGTTTTTGATAGTACTACTCATTCTAAGCAAATTCTGTATGTAGCCAGGTTCTTACAGAAGTCTCTCAAAATTGTATTTACTTGGTACTAGTGAGAAATAGCCAATGAATATAATCTGAAGTCTAATTCCTTGGGTTGTCATGAGTTCCTGAATGTAGTAAAGAAAACCAGTTTTAATAGTTCAGAGCTTCTGGAGAAGTACTGTTTTGTACTCAACCACTAGAATTTAGCTTTATTTTTAGAAAAGCAGTTATCTTTAGTGAAAAGTGATGCTTAGTTTGTACTTGGGTATTTTATGTCTGGTCCTACAAAATTGAAGTAGTAAATATGAAGACTGTATATATGTGGGAAAGGATATACAGTGTTATGTGAAGAAGAAACACAAAATTGAATGGTCATAATGATTTTAAGTGTATAAAAATCCGTGGTTAAAGACTGAAAGAGATTAGAGGAATATAAAAGATATTTGGATAAAAGTTATATTTTTATGAAGTTACTGTGTTTTAAATAAAAGATTTAATAAATTATTCATTGGGAAAATCCAAATTATTCATTGAGCAAATATTTACTGAACATCTGTTACATACTAAGTGCTGGGAATAAAGTATACATGGTATACAAAATAGATACAGATTGCCCATGTTGATCTGGTCTAGTGAGAGGAGCATCAATTAAGTAAAGAAATAAGTGAAAGTTTGTGCTGTTAGTGCTTGCTATGAAGAAGAGCTATATGGCCATATGTGAACTTATAATAACAGGATTTGACCTATTCATGGAAGGTGACCCTGATCTGATATTTGAGTAGACATTATATGAAAAAGGAAGAGAAGACTGTTTAATATGGTAGCTGCCAGCCACACATGGCTTTTAAAAACTAGTCCAAAATGAGATATGCTGTAAGGATTAAAAACATGTTGGGGGTTGAGCGTGGTGGTTCACACCTGTAATCTTAGTACATTGGGAGGCCAAGGCGGGCGGATGGCTTGAGCTCAGGAGTTTGAGACCAGCCTGGGCAACATGGTGAAACCCCATCTCTACAAAAAAATAGAAAAATTAGCCAAATGTGGTGACTCAGGCCTGTGCTCTAGTACATTGGGAGGCCAAGGCGGGCGGATGGCTTGAGCTCAGGAGTTTGAGACCAGCCTGGGCAACATGGTGAAACCCCATCTCTACAAAAAAAAATAGAAAAATCAGCCAAATGTGGTGACTCGGGCCTGTGCTCTCAGCAACTTGGGAGGCTGAAGTGGGAGGATCACTTGAGCCTAGGAGGCTAAGGTTGCAGTGAGCCGAGATTGTGCCACTGCACTCCAGCCTGGGTGACAGTGTGAGACCTTGTCTCATAAAAAAGAAAAGAAAAGAAAAAACCATGTTGAGTTTCAAAGACTAGTACAAAGAGCAGAAGGTCAGTTATCTTGTTAATAGTATTTACATTGATTAAATACTACAGATACAATATTTTGGTGATATTGAGTTAATAAATATATTAAAACTAGTTTCACTTTTTTTTTTTTTTTTTAAATGTGGCTACTAGAAAATTTAACATGACATATGTGGTTCCCATTTGTGGCTTCTATTATATTTCTGTTGGATAGCATTGAATCCAAACCAGACTAGTTGAACAAACTGAGCAAGAGGTAGCATGGTATAAGAAGACTGGAAAAGAAACTACACAATAGGGAATAGTATATATCATGTTAAGGAGTGTTTTATCTTGTTCTGTGAGCATTGGGAAGCCGTTGAGTCCCTTTTAGCAGGTGGAGGGGAGGTATCTCATGATCAGACCCTATTTCAGGAAGGTCACTCTGGCTTTATTGTTCTGTTTTAGCAATTTAATACTTACCTTTTCTTTAAAAGTGAAAAATGACATCTTTGAGTTAATAGACAATAGGGAAATGAAGTAGATCTATGAAATTATATGGAAAATTTCTGATTCATTTTAGATTCTTCCTGGAATAATAAGTGTTCATCCTGTTGTAAGAAACCTGGCTGTTTTATGCTTGGGATGCTGTGGACTACAGAATCAGGATTTTGCAAGTAAACACTTCGTATTACTATTGCAGGTAGGATTTATCCTGTGACAAATCTCAATTGTATTTTCTGAAATACTCTGTGGTGATAATGCTAATACTCTGAATTTATCTATTCTGGTGCTTATTGATGATGATGATTATTATGGATAATCTTTGGAGATGCAATACTTTTATCTTTTGTTTTCTTATTAAAATGTGTTTGTAGAAAAAGATGAAACGCCAATTATTTAAGATATGCTTTTAATTATTCACATAGCAAATACTTATGGAGTGCATGTTATATGCCAGCAACTGTTCTAGACTTAGAAAAATAAAGTAGGTAGGTACTGAATAAAACAAGATAAAACGTGTTGTCTTAATGGAGCTTACATTCTAGAAGGGGAAACACACAGTGAAAAATATGTATACAATGTATCAGATAGAGAAAAATAAAGCAGAGAAGGGGACTAAGCAGTGGGGAGGAGGAGAGGGAACTGTTTGGTTGAGAAAGACCTCACTAATAAGTTGACATTTGAGCAAATACCAGAAGGAAGCACAAGAGTGAACCACGTGGTTATCTGGATTTCCAAGGAGAGGCAAGAACAAGGGAAGAGGCCCTGGGGTGTAGGACTTTGGGTGTGTTCAAGGAACAAGAGAACATATGGCTAGGAAAGATTGAGCAAAGGGAAGAATAATAGGAAAGGGTTTGCTGGCAGCACGATGTCCATGTCTTCTGGAACCTTATAGACTGTAAAGACGTCAGCTTTCACTATAAATGAGATGGAAAGGAATTGGAGGGCTTTGAGTAGGGGATTGTTACGATCTGACTGGGCATAAAGTGGTGTAGACCAGGGAGGGGTTGGCAAACCTTTTGTGTATAGGGCCAGAGAGTGAATATTTTTAGATTTTTGCAGGCCATATGATCTGTCTGAACTACTCAGCTCTGCTTTTGTAGTGTGAAGACAGCTGTAGATAATACATGAATGAATTAGTATGGCTGTAGTCCAGTAAAACTTTATGGACACTGAAATTTGAATTTCATATAATTTTCACATGTAATAAATTTTTTTTTAACCAGTTGAAAATGCAAAACTTCCTAACTTGCAGGCTATGCAAAAACAGGTGGTTGAATAGATTTGAGCTGTTTGCAGATCCTTAGTATTAAATAGGGGTACAAGCATGGAAGCAGGGATACTACTAATAAGGAGGGTATTTGATAATCTAGGAAAGCGAAGGTGATGGTTTGGATGAAGGTTGTGGTTGTTGAGGTTGTCAGCAGGATGGTAATCTAAGTTTGAAAATTTAAGTCTAGGATTTGCTAATGAATCTGATGTGGTATGTGACAGAAAGGTAGAGGATAATTTAAAGATTTGCCCCAGAATAACTGGATGGATGAAGTTGACTTTTCCTATGATGGGGAATGCAGAGGAGCAGGTTTTATGGCAGATAGGATGAAATAAGGAGTTCAGTATTGGGCATGATAAGTTTACAGTTTAAGTTACAAGTGGATATATTGAATAGGCATTTATATGTGAGTTTGGAGTATAGGGGAGAGGTCCAAGATGGTGAAATGGAAGTCTTTATTCTTTTGATAGTATCTGATAAACGCAATGCTTAGAGATAGGATGTTGCCTGAGGAATGAGTATAGATTAAATGAGTGTAGGGTCAACTTTGTAGGACCCTAAGCCTCAGATAAAAGTAGGGGAGATGAAGAGGAACCAGTAGTGGCTAAGGTGAATTGGACAATAGAAGAGGAATGGTGTGATTTCCTGGAAAGCAAGTGAAGGTAATATTTTAAAGATGATAGAATGACCCAGCTGTCCAGTGTTGCTTCATAATGGACCATTCTGGATTCCTAATGGACCATTTCTGGCAATCAGGAAGTTTCTTGAAATTTCTTTAAAAGTTTTGAAAAATTGAGCCATTTTTCTTAATTCATTATTTACAGGTGATTTTTATTTGTTTTAAAAGCCAAGTTACAGAGCCAAGTTATTTTACCAATTACCTAAATTTAATTACACTAAAGAATATAGTAAACTGGCACACGCCTGTAATCCCACCACTTTGGGTGGCTGAGGCGGGTGGATCATGAGGTCAGGAATTCGAGACCAGTTTGACCAATGTGGTGAAACCCCCATCTCTACTAAAAATACAAAAATTAGCTGGGCGTGGTGGTGCATGCCTGTAATCCCAGCTACTTAGGAGGCTGAGGCAGGAGAACCGCTTGAATCCAGGAGGCGGAGGTTGCAGTGAGCTGAGATTTGCGCCATTGCACTCCAGCCTGGGCAATAGGAGACGTCATCTCAAAAAAAAAAAAAAAAAAAAAGAAAATATATAGTATATATAATATATACTACGTATATATATGAAATATAGAATACTGAGCTCTGTATTTTTTTCATGGCTTTGAAATTTGGTGGGCATTTTTAAACTTAAGATAGACTCATACAAAGTGCTGTGTTTCGTGGTTTACCTCTTTTCATAAAGGAGTCCAGTTGAAAACTGAATTTACTATTAATGAATTCTAAATTCATTGAGCTAATGAGAGAAAAATGAAACTTGATAACCTGGAAGAATACTGTTCTAATGAATGCCTTTCATTGCTTAGAATATAATGTTTTTCTCTTGACAGATGGGCTAGAACACTTTCAACATAATTGAACAGTTTTTCTGGATCTTAAAAAAATAAAATCATAGTTGAGGGCATTGTTGATTCTTTTTTAAATAAAAGGAACAAATAATATAATTCAGCCTGACTCCAATTCCAGAAATTTTTATTGACTGTGAAGATTGACTTTTTCTTAAAGTATATAGCTCTCAAATGTTACGGTTCAAATAAGTAAAAATAATGTGTTTTTTTTTAAATTGAAATTTTAACTGTATTTTTGAAAAGTGATGTTTTCTTTAGACTTGACACTGTCATTGAAATTTGACTAAGAAAAAAATAAGATACATATTAATTTTATGTAAACAGAATTAAAACGCTTTACTGAATTTACTTTTTTTGGTGGGGAATATCTTGATTTAGGTTTTGCAAATTGATGATGTCACAATAAAAATAAGTGCTTTAAAGGCAATCTTTGACCAACTGATGATGTTTGGGATTGAACCATTTAAAACTAAAAAAATCAAAACACTTCATTGTGAAGGTACAGAAATAAACAGTGATGATGAGCAAGAATCAAAAGAAGTTGAAGAGACTGCTACAGCTAAGAATGTTCTGAAACTCCTGTCTGATTTCTTAGATAGTGAGGTAAGAAATAATCCAGTCCTGTGATTATGAAATGTCACTTTCAAAATGTCATTTTCAGCATGTATTTGTTTATTTTTTAAAAAAATTTATTATACTTTAAGTCCTGTGATACATGTGCAGAACATGCAGATTTGTTACATAGGTATACATGTGCCATGGTGGTTTGCTGCACCCATCAGCCCATCTACATTCGGTATTTCTCCTAGTGCTATCCCTCCCCTAACCCCCTATCCCCTGACAGATCCCAGTGTGTGATGTTCCCCTCCCCTATGCTCTTTATATCTTATTTTTCCTACTGGATTTTAAATTTGGATAGACATTTTTTATTTTACTTTTTTAATATCTTAATTAAATCCTAACTTTCACTATCATACCTGATTTCTCACTATCAAATTGTATGTGCAAAGAAATGAAGTATAAACAAAAATGAAGTGATTATTAATTATTAGTGGGGGTTGTTATTTATTTCTTTACGTTGTATTTGTGATATAGAGACTTCTAAGATTTATCCCCAAGAGTTTTAAGAAATAGTTTAGAATAATTTTATATTGGGTGGATAGAAGATGTAAGATAGGGTATGGGATTAGATCTCTTTTAAGTACTCTTGAACTACTATTTTTATAGCACACATGTAAACCAACTGATTAAAAATTTTTTATACTGATTGTAGTTTTTCATTGAGGTGGAAGTGATATAACAAAACTTAACAATTTTTTTTTTTTTTTGAGATAGAACCTTGCTCTGTCATCAGGCTGGAGTGCAGTGGTGTGATCATAGTTCACTGCCCCCTCACTTGCTGGGTTCAAGCAATCCTCCTGAATAGCTGGAACTATAGGCATGTGCCACCATGCCCGCTGATTTTTAAATTTTTTGTAGAGACAGGGTCTCACTCTGTTGCCCAGGCTGGTCTTGAACTCCTGGCCTCAAGCAATCCTCCTGCCTTAGCCTCCCAGAGTGCTGGGATTGCAAATGTGAGCCCTCGTGCCTGGCCCAAACTAACACTGTTAATGTGAACAATTCATTGGCATTTAGTACATTCAAAATGAAAGGCAACTACCACCTCTATCATCTAATTTAAAACCTTTTACTCATCCCAAAATGAATACTCATTAAGCAGTTGCTCCTCATTCCCACTTCTGCCAGCCCTGACAGCAACCAATCCGCAGTCTGTTTCTATGGATTTAACTATTCTGGATATTTTGTATAAATGGAATCACACAATGTGTGACCTCTGTTTGGCTTTTTAAACTTAGCATAACATTTTCGAGATTCATCCACATGGTATCTTGCTTGTATCAGTACTTCATTCCTTTTTGTAGCTGAATACTCCATTTTATGTATATATGGTGATTTGTTTATACATTCATCCATTGAAGGACAGTTGGGATGTTTCTGCCTTTTGGCTATTGTGAATAGTGCTGCTTACTATGAATATGGCGTGTATGTGTATTTATTTGAGTACCTGTTTCAATTCTTTTGGGTATCTGTATACCTAGGAATTGGGTTGCCGAGTCATTTAACTTTTGGAGAACTTGGCAAAGTTGTTTTCAACAGTGACTGAACCATTTTAAATTTCCACCTGCAGTGTAGAAGGTTTGCCATTTCTCCATATCCTTGTTGACACTTAGGTTCCATTTTTAAAAAATTATAGCTATCCTAGTATATATGAAGTGCTACTTCATTGTGGTTTTGATTTGCATTTCCTTAATGACTAGTGTTGTTGAGTATCTTTTCATCTGCCTCTTGGCCATTTGTGTATTTTGTTTGGATAAATGTCTGTTCAAGTCCTTTGCCCATTTTTAATTTGGGTTGGTTGTCTTTATAGAGTTCTTTATGTAGTTTGGGTGGTAGATTTTTATCAGGTATAATTTGTAACTTTTATTCTATAGGTTGTCTTTTTACTTTCTTGTTAATATACTTAGATGTATTAAACATTTTTAATTTTGGAGATACACTCATTTTTTTCTTTCGTTGCTTCTGCTTTTGGTGTCCTATCTAAGAATCCATTCTAAGTCCAAGTCATGAAGATTTATCCCTGTTTTCTTTTGAGAATTTTCTGGCTTTAGCTTTTATATTTAGGCTGTTGATGCATTTTCAGTTAATATTTGTATATGGTCTAAGGTCCAGCTTCATTGTTTTGCCTGTGTACATCCAGTTTTCTTTTCCTTTGTCTTCTCTAGACTTGTTTTGTTTACTCTTTCTACGAATGCCTTCTGCTTCAACATCTTCTGTTCACAGTCTATCCATTATTCAGACAAATTGCCACTCCTACCTATGCAGCTTTTGCTTATAGATAGGCACCACCCTCTAATATCAGGGGCCAGGGTTTTCTATGTCTTAGAAATGCTAAGCATTTAAATATATGTTTTGCTTTTTATTTTCCAACAGTTTTAAAAGGCCTTTGGTTCTTCTAAAAAATTTTAAGATAATTGAATTTTTCATGGCTAGACTAAGCATTTATTTAGTCTCCTAGTCTTTTAGATTTGTCTAACATTGTTAGTCTAGCTGTGAAGAAACAGTCTTTTTGTGTGCCTTTAAAGAATTGGTAATAACTTGAATGGTTTTTGGATGGTTCATGTAAAAATACTGTAGGACAGGCTACATTGAGAAGCTTAAAAAGGAGATACAAATAAATTTCTTCTAATGAATGTCATCTTTGTTAGGTATCTGAACTTAGGACTGGAGCTGCGGAAGGACTAGCCAAGCTGATGTTCTCTGGGCTTTTGGTCAGCAGCAGGATTCTTTCTCGTCTTATTTTGTTGTGGTACAATCCTGTGACTGAAGAGGATGTTCGACTTCGACATTGCCTCGGCGTGTTCTTCCCCATTTTTGCTTATGCAAGCAGGTATTGAGTCATACTGATAAATCAAAAATCTGACTTGACATCAAATTCAGGTCCCCCATGAATTATATCTATAATATTTTGTTGTTGATACTTTTTCTGTCTTTAGTAGATAAATGATAAAATGACAAGAATGATACAGATTTTATCTGTCTGAATTTTTGGCTCTTTCCTAGCTGAAAATGCACTTTATCTTGATGAGTGAATTTCATATATAGTAGTTTTAAATTTCATACATAATAGTTTTTGGAGTCATGCTTTTCTCTCATCAAATAATGTTCTGTCAACATACTTTGAATTTGTTTCTCAACAGGACTAATCAGGAATGCTTTGAAGAAGCTTTTCTTCCAACCCTGCAAACACTGGCCAATGCCCCTGCATCTTCTCCTTTAGCTGAAATTGATATCACAAATGTTGCTGAGTTACTTGTAGATTTGACAAGACCAAGTGGATTAAATCCTCAGACCAAGACTTCCCAAGATTATCAGGTGAGTGATTTTAGTAACTGCACACAGATCACTGTTTTGGTAAAATAATCTCTCTCAAAGATCCCTTGAAATACTGAGAACTGCATTTTGGTCTTTAGACTTCTGTCTCAAGCATTTACCACAAAGCATGAAAAAACAAGACCTTGGGAAATGTGGAGAAATCATACAAAAACAGAAGTAATCAATGCTAACATTTTTGCTACTGAAAAGAAATTACTAAAAATTTACCACCCACACCATGCCCACTTAGTACTGACTGTTAATCTGAAATAATAACCTATGTTATCTAGGACTCACTGAGTCTTCAAATGTTGGTTTACCTGCTATGCTTCTGGCACAAAGAAGGAGAATTCAAAGACTAGAATTCACTTCAAATTTTTTTGGCTTTTAATTCAAAGAAGATAAACCAACTGCACACTGACTCACAGACTGAACTTAAGCTGGGTTGTTTTAATCCTTTAATGGCATTTGGTCAAACTTGTTACTACTTTTGAAATTTAATGTATTAGTGATTTCAGATGCTAACAGATTAAGTTGAAAGTGTTACTCTATTTGATATTTAGTGATAGGCTACTCTGTTCAAGTCATATGTCTTATATTATTGGTAAGATAAGATTACAAAGGATATTAGGCAGAATTAGGTAAGGGTCAGTAATAGAGCTATTAAGCACTTTACGACTTGAGACAAAGGCAAGAGTCATGTGGTAGGAATGATGAGTACAGCGTTAGTTTTAAAACTCATTGACCAAAATTCAGTTAGGCCTTGTTGGTATTTGGGGAGTGGTTTGGGTAGAGGAAGTGGTTTTAGTAAAGGTGATATATGTAGATGATTATGCAAATGTTGGGGAACTGTAGAAAGATGACTTTAGCTAAGGATCCTGAATAGGACTGTTAGGGCAGAACATTGGGGGTAGATTATAGATTGCTTTAAAGGTCAATGTAGGGAATTTGGAGTTGGCCTTATTTGCAGTGGGTGATTATGCAGGGCTTATGATGAGAATGGGTTAATGTCATGCAAACCACTTAGAAAGATTAATTTGGTGGTCAGTGATGGTTATATGAGATGAACTGGTGAGTGGAAAGAAAATAATATTAAGAAAGCAGTTGAAAAATCTGTATAATTCGCTTGTAGAAAAAGTACTAGAAAGTAATAGTAGAAAGTAGAAAGAATAGACATTGACCTAATAAAGAACTATGGGTACAAGAATCTAAAAGAAAGAGCTTGAGAGGCAAGGGAGATGGAGGAGTCCAGGCAAACTCTTAAGTATGTGTAACAGCAGACTTCAAAGGAGCTGTTGCCATAGTGTAATTGGGGAGTACTCTCGTGATCAGCATCCTGGAAGATTGAGGAAGGTAGACTGGGGCATGGCACTAAGTTCAACTACGGCTATGCAGGCAAAGACCCCAGCCAATCCCATAGGGAGTTCCAGAACTGGGATGTTCCTTTGAGTTGTCCAGAATGGAGGCAAGCTGAGACATTGTACCTGTGCATTGGCCAGTCATTGGATTTGGACAAATCTTTGGGAGAAGAGGTATGATCTTGGACAAGGCCCACCAAAGTCCACCTTCGTCAGCCTGGATCAGTACTGCATCTGGGAACTTTTACCCTCCAAAACATGCTGCAACTGGAGGATGAGTGCTTCTTTCCTAAAGGAAGTGGAACTGGGCCCTGTATTACAGCATCCACTACAAGAAGTCAAGAAGGGGAGCTTATTTTGGGGGTAGAGGGGATGTTAAATTTGGTTTTAGACATTTTATATTTGGGATTATGACAAGACAATTAGTTGGAAATATTTGTTAGATGTGTAAGACTATATAATAATCATAATCATTTTCATTTTAGAGAGAATTTTCTCTTAATTTTTTAGGCCTTAACAGTACATGACAATTTGGCTATGAAAATTTGCAATGAGATCTTAACAAGTCCATGCTCACCAGAAATTCGAGTCTATACAAAAGCCTTGAGTTCTTTAGAACTCAGTAGCCATCTTGCAAAAGATCTTCTGGTTCTATTGAATGAGATTCTGGAGGTAAAGTAGTTTCTAATTACTCTGAATTAGTTTGTGTTTATATTTATACATGTAGAATTTACATGGTTGTATTAGATTATACATATGTTAGCATATTGCGACTTATTTGAAATATTTGCTTCATAAATTTCATATACTTTAGTGTATTTAAACAACTTGATATGTATTGGTACTATTTTCAAAGATTAGGGAATGTGGTGTTTACAAAATATTAATAATGTTTTCTTTTATAGCAAGTAAAAGATAGGACATGTCTGAGAGCTTTGGAGAAAATCAAGATTCAGTTAGAAAAAGGAAATAAAGAATTTGGTGACCAAGCTGAAGCAGCACAGGATGCCAGCTTGACTACAACTGCTTTTCAAAATGAAGATGGTAATGACATACTGACCAGAATATTTATAAGATTCTGTGTTTTTCATCTTTACTGAGACATATTTTTTTCTACTCTAACATGTTTGGTTGGACATCAGAAATGAATGAAAATTTTTTTCTAATTAATCCTCTTGGGAAACAGCATTACTGATAAATGTTTATTCTACTTTTCAAGTGTTTTTTGACATGCATTTCTCAACATATGACCATCTTTTTAGGAGTTTTGATTCTTTTCCAACATTCAAATTTTCGAAAGGGTGATTTATAACTTGTCACTAGTTGTTAGAAGGACTTTGTCATTTCAGTTTCATAAAAACTGGACTTAAAAAGACAATTTAAAATATTTCATGAGGCTATCTTATTTATATTGTTGTATTATTCCCTTTAATAGAAAAGAATAAAGAAGTATATATGACTCCTCTCAGAGGTGTAAAAGCAACCCAAGCATCAAAATCTACTCAGCTAAAGACTAACAGAGGTAGTGTATGGATTGACCATCTTTATGATAAAAGTTTTATATTTTATCTTCCAATGAAAAATACTTGTTTTGCAAGTTTTCTTATCTTTGTTTCCTTAGGGATAAAGATTTTTTAAAAATGTCTTTGGTATCCTTTCTTTTTAATTCTTTCAGTGGATGTCAGTTTTTGCCTTGTGTCTAAAGACTATAAAATCAGTGTTGCTCTAGGTGCTTTTGATTGAAAGAAGTATGCTGCAAAACATCATATTACAAAAGATAATTTGTGTTAAATTAATATTTGGTTAAATGATGGTTTTATATTAGTTATTTGTGTTCTGTCCTTCATATAACTAAGCATTTTTAAAAAATCCCTGTAGTATTTTTTCTGGGCTTTGGTTTCCTTCTATTCCCATCTTATTTCATATTTTCCCAACTTATTTCCCAAGGGCTATCCAACAATAGGGGATCTGCTGGCACAGTAAATGCTGACTACTAGGGGATCACTTGGAAAAAAATCTGAAATTCAAGATCTTTTTATTGTTTTATTATTTCCTCATTACAAAAGCAATGCATGCTTATTACAGAAGAATCAGAAAGTACATCCAGGCAAACTACTATAAGGAACACTAATAATCCCACCCATGAGCCAACCTTGATTTTAACTTTAGAAATCTATTTTTTAAGGCCCTTTTCGATGCAGATTTAATTTTTTCTAAAATGGAGTCTGGAATATTGTTTTGTAACCAGTAAATTATTTAAATACCGATTGCTGGCTATTGTTCCAAATTAGTCCCATATTGTTGGATGTTTTCTTGGGGATAAATCCATTAGTAAAAGCAGGTAAGGAGTAGAAAAAAGTGCCACATGAATGAAGTAGAGTATATAATTTTCAAACAGACTGTCACATTGAACAGTTTGGTTTTGATCAGATTTTTTTTTTGTGGTATATCACACCATGAGAACACCATCCTTTTTAATACACCAAACTTCATGTATTCATACTGTTTTATTTCTTATAAATGAGAAACATCACAAGCCAAACTTTGTCTTACTCTTTGACCTTGTAAATTTCTAGTAAGTAGAATCTTATAATCCCTAGTATATAAAGGTTCTGGTTTTTACATTGAAATATATTTTAGAACACATATTTGAATTGGTCATGTATATGTTATTTTACAAGAAGCCATTATTACCTTACTGATTAATGTTCTATTTGTTTTATCACCTTCCAAGAAAAAAAAAAGTTCTGTTTCTTTAGCACCTGTTTATGCACCTAACCTACCTTTCTAACCCTTAATTTTCATGAGTCTCTCCACAGACTTTGTGCTATAGCAATAATATAGGTACTTCATTATAACACATTTTTCATATACTCTGTCCTCAAATGCATTGAACTAAAATTTGCCTTCTTTTAACTTGCTTGAAATTTCCTTATTTTCCCTTACTCATTATTAGTGCTTACAAAATAAATTAAGTTTTAATCTTGCTTGGGTTCCTTTTTCTGTGGTAGTGGTAACTAGTACCAAGATGGCTAGAATAAGTAGGAGATACATGTGTTGAAAGGATTGTTGTGTTGAAAACAAAGGATGTAGTTAGCCTAGAAACTAGATTAAAAACAATAAGCAACTGATAATAAATTCTGATAATGAATTATGCTATCTTCAAGGACAGAGAAAAGTGACAGTTTCAGCTAGGACGAACAGGAGGCGTCAGACTGCTGAGGCCGACTCTGAAAGGTATGCCATGCATGTCTAGAATATATAGAGGCCTATCTTCACTTTTTATTTCTAGAAGTAGAAAAAAACTATAATTTTCTTGTGAATGAGAGAAAATACTATAACAAGATAGTGAAAACTATAAATGGCTGTCTTGGGTATATAGTCTAAAATTCCATTATCAAGAGCATTTGACTTCTTACGGCATGTCTGCTTTTGCCAATTAGTTGGCATGGTCTTTAGTGCTATCTTTAATATGTTGTTTCAATTTCTAATTACATGATGTGACTCCTCTTTGATCTTCAGTTAGCAACTCTTGATTTTGATAATATTTGGGTTCTCTACACTTAATGATAGAATAATTCTGTCTATAATTTGGGTATATTGTGTAGTAGAGTGTTTATTTTTGGCTTCTTGTCAATGAAGTCACTGTTAGAGCTGAAAGTTGATAGCTGTCTTGTATTCATTGGCAAAATTGTATTGTGTGTATTTTCAGTACATAGTTTCACACTATCTTGATTAAATTTAATCAAGAGGGGGAACTTATTTTTTACTGTGTTTTCGGAATTTATTGCTTAAATCAAGAGAATTTATTTTTTTTCTCACTTCTTGAGTTTCAAAGAAATCTTTTTTGGACAGTTATGGTCCTTGTTTAATTACAAGCTTCATTACAAGTCTGTGACTTTTTTCCTGTATAACACCAGGTTCCATTATAGTATATAAAATCATTAGCCAGGTTTTCCATGATTCACTTTGCTGGATAGCCAAGTCAGTGTTTTTTGACATTGTTTGATTTTAGTTTTAAGCTAAGTCAATGGAATCAGGCTATCAATTACACACTGATAGAATGTGAGTCAGAAACAAAAAAGTTTTATTTATAAATAAACTGGTTTTAAAGCTTGTATCTAAATTCGTGTATTTTCAACATCTATTTAGTGATCATGAAGTTCCAGAACCAGAATCAGAAATGAAGATGAGACTACCAAGACGAGCCAAAACAGCAGCACTAGAAAAAAGTAAACTTAATTTTGCACAATTTCTCAATGAAGATGTAAGTTAGGAAAGACGATGGAGGTGGAATCCTTTAAGATTATGTCCAGTTATTTGCTTTAATAAAGTTACCCTTGTCAAAATCAGAACAAACCTGACGTCTTTCTGAAGATTTTCTGCTGTGCGCTTCCACGTTACTTTGGCCTGTATTAAAGCATTAGGACAGCGTCAGTTATTATAGTCCAGAAAAAATCTGCATCACACAGATTTATCAGAATTTGAGGTGGGCCTAGGAATCTCGTTTTTAAATAGTCTCTCCAGGTGATTCTTATGAACTCTTTATGTTTAAAATCATGTCATTATGGAAACTTTCAACTGTGACTAGCTAGTAGCTTGCATTTGAGAAGCTTATGACTTAGATGGGCAGAATCAACAAAGATGAAACCACCTGAGGACATATTTAACAACTAACATGTCAAGGGAAAATGAAGGAAGTACCACAAACTGGCTAGGAGGAGCTTACCACCAGTGAGGAAGACCAGTATAACGTTCAACAGTTATTTTGACAATCTTATTTTGTGATTCCTACAGTGAAAACATTTTTGATGATGCTGTCTGCCTGGGAAATCTCTCTTCCTAAAGTATTTGCATATGGGAGTCCTTGTTTGTGAATGTTTCCTGGGTTAGGGAGGTATCAACATAAATGTATATTAACCATGAAGCTGCTTTCTATATTTTTGGCATAATAAAATAATATTTACTGTGGATAATAATTCTAGTGGGAAAATAATGTGACAGGAAGTTCTCTTTATATATGCTACCAATTTATGAGTACTATGTCAATTTCATTTCTTGTCTTTTGAAATTGACACTTGACCTGACTTATGAAACTTGTACTGTATGAAACTGGTCCTCTTTTCTCTAATACCCAACAAAACACCTTTTCTCTTTATTATTCAGAAATGTCCTAACATGGATCTGTTTAAATAATTGTGCTTTTTTAGGCTTATTTACTAGAGGCCATTTACTTAAAGTGAAATTTTAAGATGGAGCTAAAGTAATATCACTGGTTTTTAGAACCAAATTGCTACACATTTGTGCCTCATAGAACTTATAAAAGGAGTCAAAGTTACAAAGCAAGATAGTTATTAAGCAAAAGGAAAAATGGTAATGATAGAAAGTCAGTTAGAAATAGATGATTGTTCTTTATTCTGTTTGTTGGCTCTGTGTTCTCCTGTGCTTCAAATTCCTTATGCATTGTTATTTTAAAGATAATTTGCAGGAGGTTGGGAGAAGGACTGAAAAGGTACATTAAGTGTGCTGTAAGGAAAAGTCTTAGAAACATAATAAACTAAAATCCCATTCACACATGGCCAGGCTATCCAAAAAGAAAGAAGCCATGTTCTCATGCGGTTCACCATACCAAAGTTTGCTTTCTGTGGCATGGGAAAAACAAATTTAAGCACCAAACCTTTAGTATTCTGAGTATTCAGTTTTTAGACACAGTCATGTAGCCATTGCTGAAACTGTGCTTTGCACTATTACAGTTAAAGGTAGGGAATGTCCTTTTGAAAGTCATCCCTTTAAAATAAAAGGCTAAGGTACAATAAAACAGATGTAAATCCATTTACCATTTTTTCATTCAAAACTGGTAACTTACAGAAACCACATAGTATTCTTCTCTACCAAGAGGCACAGATTTGCTAAACAGTAAACATGCAATTGTGCCATTGCTCTTAAAGCCCACAGACTTACAGGTTTAAAATACAGAGAAAGAACTGATCAGCTCACATTCTCCTGTGAACAGAAACATGCTACTTGACAAAAAGCTATGGTCAACTTGTTTTCTTCTGTACATATATAACTTTGAAGGAGATTTACTTCTAAGAGATACCTTTGCCTTTTCTTTCACCAATGTGCTTCGAGGTAGTTGGTGTCCACCTGTTTCCTGTTTGACAACTGCTCATGGGCCAGGTCATCACAAATCTTTACAATACTAGCTCTATAAATCACAATGTGTTATATATTAAAACTTTGTGCACAGAAATAAAACTGGGGACAATTACGTATTTAAACTTAGGGCATAAAAAATTCACATAATACCATTAAAAAGAGAAACATCGAAATCTGTTTATACTACAAAATTCCACAATGATCTGATGTAAAACATGTAAAAAACATACAAAGAATATAATCAAAATGATTAATGCTAATGATTTAATATAAAGACAAATCACAGGACTAGAAATACTTCAAGATCAATTGATAAATGCTTATTGTTCACAAGGAATATTGACATACAAAATAAAGATAGTGCAAGAAGAACTGCAATCTATTTCTCCTCACTTTTGAGATTTTGGTTATGAACTGTACAGCTCGCTAGAGATGCTGTTGTCAAATTCAGATTCCATTCAATGGGACGATTAAGGCACATCTTAACGGGGCTCAAAGGGCAACTTGCTGTATTCCCATCAGACACATTCAGTTTCTCATCAGTTTTCATTTGTAGCATGCTGGAAGAAAAAGTGTAAGGCATTTTAGTTTTACTTTAATTTCCAAGTAATTATCAACCTTGCAAAAGAACATGTAGTTGTTGTGTTTGGACCTCTAAACTTCAGCATACATAAAGCATTTATCCTGAAAATAAAACAGTTTTCTCTCCCACCTACTTACTGAACTAAATACAATGAATAATGCCATGTAAACTGTAACTTGAGAAGTCACATATGACTGAAAAAGTAACACTGCATATATGGATTACATCAGTATACATCAGAAAAGATATTATTTAACCTTGTAAGCCTGGCAGGATTTAACCCTTTTAACTTGCCCTTTTGTGGATCAGGATGAGAGCCACTTTGAGGAAAAAAAGGGATCAACATTTGTTGCCTGTTCTAGCCACCTTCACATGTATTGTCTCATTTGAATTTCGCAAAAGCCAGGTAAGGTTGGTATGCTTATCCTCACAGTAAACAATAAAATCAAGACTCCTCAGAGTTAAGTACAAATATGCCTGAGGTCATACAGTCACCTGCCTGGAACTGGAATACAGCCCTTTCTCTTTTCCTTATGCTTGTCTACTAGCTCTCTAATGAGGCTGGAAAATCACCAGGAATTACACTTACGGCCAGCTCATCAGAGGAGCATGCGGCATCCACAGGATACTGATTCTGGTTGTCTATTTCAAATAATTTTTTACATTAATGGGAAAGTTGGCTTATTTGGATTTATATTAGGTTGGTCAGATCTCTTCAACATTATTCTTTAATGTTCTGGACTGGTGTCTTATTCCATAAGTTCATGAGGACAGTTCCGTCTGTTCCTAAATTTTCCCACGTAGGGAACCTTCCTTACCACTCTGCTTAACCAAACCTTTACTCATGCCTAATCCAATCTCACATCTCTCAATGTGCTCTCAGTAAAACATTGCATTGGATAGTGAACTATTGGGTTCTCCACTATTGTTTCATGTCTAATAGTCTGATAACCCCCTCTAGATCAGAAGGATGCTAACATTTTTTCTGTGAAGATAAGCACAGTGCTAAATACATAGTAATTACTCAAAAATTCAGTAAACATTTATAAAAAGCCTGTTGTGAAACATCTGGAGCAGAGTGCTACTCTTCAGAATCACAGACACGTGACACTCAAAAGGGGAGCTAGTCCACTCTTCGTGTAATGAATATGCCATCCCTAGTTTTAAGTATTACTTACAGTCCACAAATTCAGGTGTGAATCCTTATGTTTATAAACTATTCAGCTCTCTAATTCACTTGACATTTAACTATGGTTAGTTAATTTGAACTATATCACTCCTAAGCTTTCTCCAACTGTAGCTCTACAAATCTTCCTATTAGCAATGAGGTTCAGTGTCTCATATTTAAGTGACTTGGTAGAGTTGGGAAATGGGAGCATCCAGACTCCAGTAGATCCCTCCCTGCAACCTCAACCAACCAACCCATACGCCATTCAATAAGCCAAATCCGTTATATCCTGTTTTACCACCACTAACATATCTAACTGCATTCTCCCCAAACAGTCCCAGTCCCAGAGAATACAGTTTCAATTTGTATAGATTAGATACTAGACAAAATGACAAACTACCAGGTAGCTTAGTATGCATCAGAAGTAGTAAACCGCTTTTTTGAAAAGCTAAAACGGATGTGATTAAAAAATAACATATTTAAAGTATATGTGACAAATGAAAGAGATCCAAAATACAATATTTTCATACATATTAGAAATCATAACTGAATTTTGAAAAAAATTTAATTATTATTAAAATGTCCTCAGGGACTTCATTTTTGTTTTTCAAGTTAGCAAAACTCAGATAAAGCCATTTCCTTTCTCCAAGGACTGCTAGTCTTCATATTTGCATTGCTTGTATTTTCAAAGCAAAAGTTTGATGTACACCTTTTTGAGAAACTCTAAGGCAAGCTATAAAAACACAATTATATTAAGATAGATTGGTAGGCAAGTATAGTAAGTATTAAACTCCAAAAAAGAAAATGAAGGCATAGAACAAATAATCATGGTCATAAATAAAAACAAATTTTGTTTTGTTTGCTGTTTGTTTGACTAAGGTGTTTTCATCACAGAAGAATAACACTTTAATAACTGATTTAATAATACTTTAATAATACTTTAATAACATGATTTTCCTTTTCAAAAACATAAGGCAGTTTTCTTAGGTAACTTTTCTAGAATGGTATACTATAAATTTGGGTACACAGATCCTACAGGTGCACAAAACTATACTTATGTATGGGGAGAAAATGTCAGTTTTGAAAAAAAACTAAATTTACTGATATACAGCTTGACATTTAATTAATATATACTTAAAAAACAATGGATATGCAAAGTTTGGGCAGTACTGCTCTACAGAATTCTTAGAATACAGCTATCTTAGGAAATGCTGGAACCAGAGGCATTAGAACATTACAGGTAGAAAGTACCTTTCTAGATGTTTGTCTTTTGAGACAGAGTCTTGCTCTATGGCCCAGGTTGGAGTGCAGTGGCACCATCATGGCTCACTGCAGCCTCCAACTCCTGCACTCAAGCAATCCATCTGCCTCAGCCTCCTGAATAGCTGAGACTACAAGTGTGTGCCATCACACCCAAATAATTTTTAAATTTTTTTGAAGAG